AATCATTGAACTGTCGAATGGAAAGAAATGGCAAGCATAAAATGGCAATTTTTCACCATTTCGAAGGTTATGTTAACAACAGAGGATTTGCGAGAATTAATATATCAGATGAAAAACATCACAGCTTCGCACTTATACCAAGTGTGGAAAATATTTCTCCAGACCAAGGTTCGTTAGCTGGCGGGGCTCAACTTACAATTTCAGGATATGGATTTGAAGGGTATCCTTTCGTAACTGTTGGAGGATATGAATGCATAATCCTCAAGAGTTCATATTTCAATATTACTTGCGAGGTTCCTACTTGTTATTCAGACGAAAGCAAAGAAGTGGAGGTGTTTATATATGTTCAAGAAGTCCCTATAAAATCAAAGTGTGAGTCATTGGGAAAGTGCTTATTCCATTACAAGTCAAACTGCACACCTAAAGTTTCATCAATTTTCCCAAATGAATTTTCCGAGCTGTCTCCTCATCCCTTTAATATAACAGGCTCATTATTAGGACATGTCACCGATGACCTCAGTGTTACCATTGGCACTGCTTCAGCTAATGTAATTCTTGCGGCAGATGAATACATCATTATTGAAGTTGACAATATGGCTGCTGGAGTCAATGATGTTGTAATAAGGGTCAAAAATTATGGAAAGGCGCTTGGCACACTTAAAGTTATAAGCCCACTAGACATACACAGTGTTCAGCCATCTCAAGGCAGTATACATGGTAACACAATAATTACTATTTTTGGCAATGGCTTTGTAAAGAATAACACAGAAGTTGACATCGGCGGTACCAGTTGCGACGTTTTGGATACTGAGTTGCCTCAAGTGACATGCCTAACAAAGTCACATCATGCTGGCTCTTTTAATGTTACGGTATTTACCAATGGGTTATCGTTTATTTTTACTTCGTTTCGTTATGCCACAGAATTCACTCCCACAGTGTCACTTATAAATCCAAAGACAGGATTTCCAGGAGACATTCTTACTATTAATGGATCAAACTTAAATGGAGTTTCTGTGTCCGTTTTTCTAGGGCATTCTTTGTGCGAAGTTGTTTCTAAAGAAATCTATCAAATACAATGTATAATCGGAAATCACTCTACTGGAGTCGTTGACGTTACTGTAATAGTTGATGGACTAGGACTTTCAAACTCAAATGTCCAATTTGAGTATCAACTAAGTCTAACTAGAATAACACCGGAGCAAGGTACAATGTCAAATTGTATATTCTACAGTGGTCATATTGTGACATAAAAATATAAACTTAAACATCCTTCCAATTATGGAACATTCATGAATCTGTTTACTTTTTAATTTTAGCAAATATTTTAAGATTTTTTCTCTCGTATGTAAACTTTATATAAAAATGCTTTCGTTTGATCGAAATTTCGCAGATTTCAAGGTATTCTTAAATTGATGTTTTGTTCCCATACAATAATAATTTGAATATACATGATATTTATTTGTATTGAATTCAATTAAATAGCAATGGAGATATTTTGAAGGGAAAAAAACATTATTGACTGAGAATATGTATGTTTGATATAGGTGGAATAGCTGGTGGACAACAGGTTACGTTGACAGGATCTGGACTTGATAATTCAGTACTTGCATATATATGTGGGAAACTATGTAAACTGTATAATACAACTTCAACAAGTTACATATGTAGGACTCCAGATAATCCTGGTTTGTATAAAAGATTGAATACATAATGCTTTATAATTTATTTTTGTCAGTCAAATAGGGGATTCATCCATTGCTCTAGTAACATCACCTCCGCAATAATTTCTATACTCGCTACAGCAGGTATAAAAAAGGTTGTCTGACAAGTTAACAAAAGTTATACAGTTCTAAATATAAGTGTTGTTCTTGCCTGATCTTCGAGATTTACCTATTCATGATGTTCAGCTTGCGATTGGTTTGGAGGCACTTTAATAAACCATAAATTCAAAGAACTAATTAAATATAGACTACGAAAGTCGCCAATTCTTCTTGGTTTTGCTACTACTGATTGACCTCCACTTCAATTAATGGTTAAGAAAAAAGTTCTTGCACATTGCATACAACGTTTTAAAACAAGCAATGTGTTAAAAACTAATGTTGCAACATGAATATATTAAGTTTAAAATTGGAGTTATTTTTTCAAAAACGTCAAAATTGCATCATTTAATTTTAATATATAAGTAAAACAAAGCGATGTTATTCAATTAATACATTAATAAATAAGACCTTATCGTATAATAGAACGACGTGTCTAAAATTATTCAAAATGTTTCGTTTTTTTTCTGAAATGAAAACTGTTTGATATTATTTTTCAGCCGATACGTGCGATGTTACTATTTCTTTAAATGGGTTAACTAAAAGATTGTCGAATGCATATTGTTACATAAATTCTATTACACCGACTATAACAAGTGTAAGTCCAGGCAGAGGTGGAACAGGTGGAGGAACAAATCTTCGTATATCAGGAGAGGGTTTTAGGTAAAGTATAATATATATATTTGTTTCATTTTCAGCTATCAGTAGCAGCTAAAGGGTTTAGCTTTTCCATTGTGGATATTTATTCAAAATCTGTTTGTAAACCGATCAGTTTCTCGTTTATTTAAAAACAATATCTATTTCAGTACTGATTTTGAAAGCGTTGACGTAACGATTGGTGGCGTGTCATGTATTTTGACGAATTTATCCACTACTGAAATAAATTGTATAACGGGGCAACATTCAAGATCCGTCCTTGCTAAAGTCGAAGTACAAATTTCAAATAATGGCATCGCAAAAGAGGTGAAATAAACACATTTGACTTTAAGCAACTTGCCCGTCGTTGTTTTTGTTTTTTGTTTTTTGTTTTTTGTTCGAATTCAGCCAGAGACTTGAATTATTTCATGTATAGCTAGTTTGTTTATGAAAGGCCAAAGGTTCTACTACGGTGCCCGCTTAAAGATTTCTTCCGCTTTTAAAGTTTGAAAGTCGTCATATAAAATTGCGTTGGTGTGACTTCAAACAAGACAGAAAGAGTGTATGTAACTATACAGTCAGATGTATTAATTATATTGAAGTCACGTTATATTTGATATTAGAATGCAAACAAAATGTTCAGTGCATTAAAACAACGTTGTTTATTCGGGTTTCAAGGACGTGGTCTTTATTAAAATTATGTTTTTGCTCATATACCTTTTATGTATGATAAACATTCCATAGTTTAAATCTACATTTAAAGATAAAATATAAATACATTTTTCATTATAGACATATTATTTGCGTTTTTGTAGACTGCAGAGGGTGTTGCAGATTTTAACTATATAGACGTGTGGTCTTCAGTATTTACCTGGGGAGGCGGCCCGTTGCCCCAAAAAGGAGAATTTATTGTGATCCCACCTGGTGCAACAGTGTTACTCGATACAGATACGCCCGTTTTAGGTTTTCTACTTATTCAAGGTACTTTCCATGCCATTAATACTATAATCTGTTAAAATGACTTCATGTTAAAATTTAAAGTGATTCATGTTTTAAGTGAAATATAAAAGAAAACCGACTAATACATCATTGGGACATAAGTATTATGTTTATATTTATTAATAATAATTAGTTGAGTTAATGAACGCGTTTATATTATTGATAAAAAAGTGACTTTAACATAAATGTTGCCAATCGTATTAAGCGTTTTTTTCTTTCGGTGTCAAATATAGGTGGAAATCTTATATTTGATGAAAAAGATATAGAACTTCAAGCAGAATTCATAATGATAACAGAAGGTGGGCGATTACAAGTTGGGTCAGAAAGCAAGCCTTTCCAGCATAAAGGAATCATTACATTACATGGTCATTTCAGAAGTAAAGAACTGCCTGTTTACGGAACAAAAGTATTGGCAATTCGGAACGGAACTTTAGATTTGCACGGTCGGTTTTTTGTTGAAAATCATTTTACATGTTTTAAAGCCTTATGTTTGTAATTTGTTATAAATTTTAAAAATAAAAGCACATTTTCCTAAGATTTGAATGGGAAACTAAATAATATAGTCTGTTAAATATTCTATTTTGTTGATAGTGAAATTAAACAAATTCTTTTTTAGGCATGAAGGTACCGTTAACCTGGACACAACTATCTGAAACTGCCAAGAAGGGTACGCATATACTTAATCTTAAATCTGGTGTTGCATGGAAAAGCGGTGACGAAATAGTTATAGCCTCTACTGGAAGCAGTATAACTAAACAAGAAAACGAAAAGAAAGTTATAGCATCAGTATCAAACAACGGAACAACATTGACAGTAACCACTCCCCTTAAGTTTGATCATGCTGGTGTCGAGGATATGTTTGATTTGAAATTAGTTGAAATGAGAGCAGAGGTTGGTCTTCTTACGCACAACGTTGTAGTCAGGGGTAATGATGATAGGCAATGGTATGACGAAGCTATTCCATGCGATTCAGGATTTGAATTTGGTAAAAATTTAAAACTCATTTTATTTTACTTTTTTATAACTTTTATGACTTACATAGACGTTAAAATAATATTGTGCGTTATCAATATTATGGATCTCGATATCTGATTTGAATAGCAGACATTAATAAAATGCATTATAATTTTTTAAGAGTTATGTTGTGTTTTAACTCCACATTTTATTTCATAGGCCATTTCACAACAAACAAGTGTACTCCTTCAGGATATAGAAATGGCATTAGAAGCAGTCAATTTGGAGTTGTTATTTTTATTCACCCACAAGTTCAAGACAGTCTTTCGACAAAAATTCATATGTCATTCACCGAAGTAACATTTGCAGGTCAGACTTTCAGATCAGGGCGACACCCTATAAATTTTTATTTGAATGGCAAAGTGGACGGGAGCTATGTACTTGGATGCAGTTTTCACAATACTTTTAACAGAGCAGTCAATATTCAAGGATCACAAAATATTCGTATAGAGCAAACAGTTATATTTGACATTCTTGGTGGGGGATTCGTATTAGAAGATGGAAGTGAAATTGGCATAACCCTTTCTATGAACCTTGCAATTAAAGTGACTGGGTGTGGTACCTTAACGAATGATGATTTGACACCAGCTGCATTTTCATTGGCAAATCCTAATAATTCTGTTCAATTCAATGCTGTAGCTGGAGGGACGCATCATGGATACTGGTACAGACCAGACTATCATTCCGCTGGTTCGACTTATATACATAGTCCGGGTATGCGTTATGTTCCTCTTGGTAATTTTTGAACAAAATTCAGCTCATTCTTTACGAGGATATGGGCTCCTAATATATAAAGACTATTTTCCAAATACGATAAGCTATGGAAGCGTATCAAACTTTAGTCAATCTATATTTAATGGATTCTTTGCATGGAACAATAAAAAGGGGGCAATTGCTGGAAATATCGGAAAAGTTCAGTTTGTAAATTTCATACTTATTCAAAACCGTCTTGCTGGAATTGAGATTAATACTATTTCAAATGTGCCAAGGTACACGTCTGAATCTCCATCTATACTAAACAGCATAATAGCCGGAAAGGCAAATATACATCAATCAAAAGATCATGGTTGTACAAGCGGAGGAATAATATTGCCTCTTGGTAGAGGTTTTATTGTCCAAAATGTCATTTTTAGCAACTTCAATGACAGTAATAGTGCAGCTTTTCGTTGGACACGAAATGTTCCCCGCCATTGTAGCCGTAACTGTGGTGGATTTACCTATCATCTTGAGGGTATAATGTATATTAACGTTCCAAATAAAGCCATCTTTTATTGGGATTGGGAAGGCATTTTGTTGGATATAGACGGATCTTCAACGATGAAATCAAACAGTTATTGGACAGTATTACCAACTACAGGAACTATTCCACCTGACTGTGAACATGCAGAAGAATTTAGTATTGGCAATAATGCAAGCATTTGTCCTCCAAATTATAAATGGAGCAGATTTGCTTTTAATAGTTACCATGTAAACTCGAAACATATAACAGGAATAACTTTCACTATTGCAAACATCTACGGAATCAGTTCACTGCCATATATATATCGGGGATTTACTCATCAAAAAGGTTGGATGTGTGCCTTGTTAAGCAACACGTCATACAAATTGCATGTTGAAAACATGTCTCCAGCAAACAATATAAGCTATCGTGGCATGATTTATGATTTTAGAGTAAGTTCTTACTAATATTTTAATTGGTTCATATTGTATCAAATTGTCCAATAGTCTTAGTTTTTTAGTATTACACATTAATGTGTACTATATCATTAATTACTGAAAACCATTGTATGACATAAATAACATTTTGACATGAATTAACACATGTAAGTCAGTAAATAAATTAATAAATAAATGAAAAGATTTAGAAAAAAATATGTGATATATGTGTTTGATAATTTGTTAAGAAGAAAATCTTACCATGTTCATGATTACCGTACACTTAATGATTTTTTAACCCATACGTTCCCTGAAAATAATTATCTACCATTTCTATATTCTCACAACTTGAGGAAAAGGCTAATGCTTTGTTTTCATACTGACGTCAATGAATATCGATGTTCTTCATAATTTAACTTATACGTAACGAAGAAGACTTTTCAATGCTATTATTTAATTTTTGTTTGTCAAATAAAATTAAACACTCCAATTTTAGAGAGAAGATTTCCTTTTTATAACAATGAACATTCCGGATTTTCCGGATTATTTTTCGATTGGTGGAGGAAAAAATAATGCCACAACGGAACGTATTAATCACGAAAACAGTACGTTTGGAGAATGGAATTGGCATAATTTCAAAAAAGAACTGACATTCATAGGTAGTTGATTTTATTTTGCTAGATTGATGAAGAGTTGGATACCAACATGATTCAAAGTATTTCACTGAACTAATTATACGTACCACTAGAAATCGTCGCAAACACAAACATATCGTTAGACAAATGATATATGATAACGTAATGATATTTATGTTTAGATTTCTAATCCAGTTACCTCTCTGGCGTGGGTTCGATCCCCGGGAGATGCTTTGGTAGTTTAGCGCGGAGGAATGTAGTCTAGTACTGGTGTAACTCTCCAGGAACGATGGTTAGGAAACTACCCGCCTATATGACTGAAATACTGTTGGAAAAAGGCGGAAAATAAAACAAACAAACAAACAAACAATTTTAAAAAATCTTAGAAGGCCGTGTGTATAAGTACTTTTCAACTTCTTATATGAGGTTAAGGTTTTTGGTTGTTCATACTTGTGCCAATCGTACAAACAATGTGTTCAGTGAGATAATTTTGCTATTTATTAATTGCTGCAATATAAATAATGAACGTTTCAGTGAAGGAACCTGCAGAATCATCTATTCAACACCAATCTGAACATGATACGGTCGATATACCAATCGATTTAGGAATCTACAAGTGTTTTTACATAGACTGTGTACCACCTCCTGATCCAAATATATCTCCGCCTGTAAATCACACACCACTGAACTATCAGTACTGGCATGACAAAAGTATCTGGAACCGCACGAATGATGGCTATATGACAAATGTTGGCAAGATTGGAAACCATTTACCAGTAGATTTTGATAATGTTAAAATTATATCATGTAAGTTTACTTATTCAATAGATGTACATTATTATGTAAATAAATTTGCCAGCATTACTACGTTGCATTATAACGGTTTTCTTTATGTAAAAGGATTCCAAGTCAAATTTTCCTTATATCAATTATCAATTGACATAATGGTTCAGAGTGACTGCTTTATTGTTATATTTTGTGGGTAATATTCAACAATTAAACAAATGTTCTCATGTAAACTTAATTTCTAAATATATCTTATTGTACCGGCGAGGCAGTTCAACGTTGTTTCATTGTAAAGGCAGAAAACAGTTAACCGTGAAAGGTTAAGATATCTTCTGACTTGACCTGTATTATTTATACAAATACAGATATAAGTAAACGCGAATTCTATAAGTATTTTATTGAATAACTCTTTCTTTTACACATTATTTTAGATACGTGGGTATTAGTTAATTTCACAAATATATGCAAGCTCAACACACTTCTACTCTATGGTGTTCTTGAATTTGTCAATGGCCACGATGCAGCTTACACTATTGAGGCTGGGCTTATTATCATCAAAGGGGGACGACTCATTATAGGCTGGCCCGATAATCCGTTTATTGGGCATGCTAGCATTATTATGTATGGCAATGATTCACTATCAGCTTTCAATCCGAAAACCGGTGTTTTACTTAGGAGGAAAACAATCGGTAAGAATATCTCCATATTGACAAAACGAAATTTGATATATTTCAAAGAAAGCAAACTGCGTCTTATCATTTTATGAAACAGATGAACTATAAAAACAAAGACATATGTATGACAATCTACTTGTACTGTGTACAATTGACAATAGATTTATGAAACATCACATTGATTGGTTAACTTGATATATTACGTAAATGCTTTAAGATAAATAATTTACATATAACTCATATCGATAAATACTGCAACTGTATCATAATAAAACCAGAACACAGTTATTGATGAGCAGAACAATGTTCATTTAATTAATCTCATTTATACTTGTGTTAAAGGGGTTTTTGGAGGCTTTGATCTATTTGGGAGAGAAACAGGAACATCATGGACAAATTTAAAGTTTTCAGCAAATACAGGCGATAGAAAAATTGTACTTTCTGAAAAAGTGCAATGGTTAAAAGGTGATGAAATCGTAATTAGTCCTACTGGATTCGGTCCATGGCAGTCAGAAACTTTCAAGATCATCTCTATTGGAAATGACCAAAGTACAATTGAATTGAATGATACGCTAAAATTTAAACACATAGGTAGGTAACAAATTAATGTTTACCAAGCTGTAAGCTGAGTAAATATGACGAAATGTATCTAGATGTTCTTATATCTTGTTTAATTTTCATATCGGTTGCAACTATGACGATGACATCTAATAGTTATATTTTCAGAATAGCATAACATTTGCATTTTTATAGTTATTGTTTAATTAAGTATATAAAATGTTTCATTTTTATTATATGCACCAAACGGAAGGCTTCTTTAATAAATGTTTTTGTAATATTAATCCTATTGATTGTTTTATTTAGTTCCTAATAACATAAGGGTTTCTCAGGTACTTCATAAAAACAAACGTGCACAAGAAGTATAAATATTATTCTGGCTGTTTGTTGGATGATCATCGTGTCTTTGATGAGGTAGGAGGAGGCATATATATCTATAATATAAAAATATCGTAGCTTCAGATCTGCGGTGAAATGGTAAATTTATCCGTGTTACATTCTTGTATTTCCCTAAAAATTGGTTTGCATTGGTGGTGTTATAAATGAAAGAAAATGCAATAGATCAAGTTATTTTCTAATCGATGTGTGTTTAACAAATAGAAAGGAACCTTCATGGACTATATTTAAATGATTCTTATTTATATTTTCAGTTCACAAAGAAGTGTTACAAAGTGGACAAATCATCACACTAAAAGCAGCAGTTGGTCTTCTAACACGGAACATAAAAATCGTCGATGCGAATCCGAAAACAGTAGGTGGAGCACGTGTGCTAGTTGGTCTATTTAAAGACAATGGTAAAACATATAAAGGTCTGTTGAATTTCTGAATATTCTACTGTGAAAATATAAAATCTCGTTTTAATAAAGATGAGTTGATGGTAAAATATACGTTCATAAAAATAAAAACTTTGCATTGTTTTTTATCAATTGATTGATAATGATTGATCTTGATATACATTTCTTATAGGTTACACCAGACTGTCGAACGTGGAATTCTATCATACAGGAAGTAAAAATTCATATCCGAGTCATTCGTTAACGTTTATTGATGTTGGACAGGTCAATTATATCAAACCATCGGTTGTTGCAAATTGTTCATTTCATAAAAGTATCAGCACAGCTATAGGCCTAATAGGAATCAGAAACATAAGTCTTGTAAATAATGTGGTGTACGATGCCTATGATAATGGTAAGATTTACGTCTCAAGATCTTTGAGAATTGCGTTACTTACATTTTCTTCTCTAATTATGTTCTTATAACTTTAAATGATAAGCTGCTGTGTAGCTTCTTGACAATGATAGATACTCATGTGTTGTTTTTTCTCGTGATTTTCAGTAATAATGTTATTTTTTAGCAGGAACCAACATTGGTTCTATTAATTTGCATGTTGTTGTTTCTTTTTTATTTTTATATAAATTTGTTATTTTTTTGTATAACAGGAATAATGACGGATGCTCTATCTACAAAACTTGTACGAAACCTGGTAATTAAGGTCAGAAACGTAGGTATTGATGCAATGAAATCGCAAAATCTAATTTTGCAAGATAATCATGTGACAAGTTCAAGTAAAATAGCATATCATGTTCCTGCTATAGGCTGTGACGACACTGGAAATATATACAGAAACAATAAGATGTATTCAAACGTTCGTGGGGCTGTTTTGTCAAACGGATATTTTACAAATTCTATGTGTGTCAAAATAATGGGCTTTGTCGGTTGGAAAAACATTAACATTGGTTTATTGTATCGGGGGCATACAATTCAAGCTGTGTTTGAAGAAAACATTCTTATTGAAAATCAAGTTGGGTTAAGCGCTGATATTCTAAGTAACCGCTACAGGCGACAAAGCTATATTGATGTGTATGTAAAGATAAGAAATATAACATTTATTGGGCAGACGTCGTCCTTTCATTGCGGCGATATGGTTTGGTTTCGCTCGAATAGATTCATGCTTGCTTCGTTTTCCGACAGGGATTGGCATTATTCTGATGGGATGGTTGGAATTGTGTTTCCACAGTTTCAAACTATCGGTGGATTCACAAAGTTAGAAAACGTTTCTTTTGTTAAGTACGGTGAATCTCTATGTCAAAAAAATTACGCAATTACAACAAATGTTGAAAGTAATGAGTTGCAGCGTCCAATGCATTCTGAAAATATATCACTTTCACAAGTAAGCCATGCCAACAAAATCCTATTTCTTCGGTCACCTAGGTAAGACCTTTTACTTTTTATATCAGCATCACTATATTTTAATAAAAAAAACGCAAGTCATGGTAAATATTCCATCTGATGAATAAATGTTAGTATATAATAAATAAGTCAAACGATAATGATCTGTCATTTCTTTAAACTTAATACATGGGCAAAACAGTTGCTGATCATAGATTTACGCAATTAATAATTCATACATTAATTCTATCTTTTCAGGACGAGTCATTTTTCTTGTTACTCAATGGAATGTGATGTTGTGCGATTTGCTGTGTATACAGATATCGATGGATCGTTTCTCCAAACTGTCGGCACTCTGATTCAAAAGTCAGAGTAAGGCAACTTTACTTTTTTTAAAGGCTTCTTTTCATTTCAAGAAGAGACATAGTCAAACTATAGAAGCAATTTTAATGTAATGTTGTTGTTTTTATTGCTACCTAGGGATCTCCCTTTTTAAGATTTTCAAAAAGATTTTCTGATGAAAGAAATGCTTTTTCGCTATCGTGCGAGTAGGAATGTCTAAATATTTTTTTTAATTATCTACAAACGATGCAGTTAAGTTATATAAATGATGTATTTTGTTTAATATTTTTAAATTCATTTCTTTAACTTCATTTTTTAGAGTGCATTCATTATCAGATCCAACATATTTTTATTATCAAAATGGTATGAGACCGTTCTTGTATCAACATGAGTACTTTTTAAAATATAATTGATACATAACTTAAAAATTATTTGAAACACTGAAATGCAGACATACAGAAATAGACTACTATCACAAACTTCCTAGAGAAATGACCACCATGCTAAATGGGAGCAGAATACCTATAGAGCAAATAGCTACTTACAGAGGTAAAGATAAAAAATGAAAGTTACAATTTTACTTTTTAATGTGAATTGTTTATTATGTATGGAATGAGTTTTAAGATTTTTAATTTTATCCAGTTCTTTTTTAGTTACTTTTAAATTAGCTGATTTTTACTACAAAACTACATTGTTTATTGTTAAACTGACTGATGTTAAACTTGATTCATACACTTTAAAAGAGATATATTTATTCAAGGTGTTGTAAGGAACAGCAACTGCACATTTGAACCAATGTGGCAAGCATATGCCTGCAAAGACGACCTTTCTTTTAAGTTGCTGCTGATAGAAAATCTTGACTCAGACGCCAGGTATCGTCAAATATCTCCGATAGCCTTACTTGCCGATGGTTATATAGATTTGCTAGACGTTCCTTTAGACAACGGACAGTGCGCACATCACTTTTGCACGAAAAGAAATATTTTGTTCAATGCTCTTATAGTTACAGGTAACAGCCATTTCTGTTGAATACACAGTATTATCCGATTGTTTAAAAGTGTAATTAAAAATGTACAAGTAATTTGAGCCAAATGTATTAACATATTTTGACTAAATAGCGATAAATCGTTTTTAAGGATGTTTTGAAGTCTTATTTTGATATTTTATGAAGTGGTTCAACTCGTATTGTGACATGGCGCTTGCCTGTCCGTGTATTTTTCCGTTAGCAACGTCAATGTTGGCTCATTTCTTTGATAACTATTCAAAGCACTTTCTCTTTATATAATTCGAGGGCGATCAGGACCGCTGGACGATCATCATTGATTTAAATGACATTTAGCCAATCGTCAATGTTATTGTATTCCTCATGGCTTAATAAATAAAACTACTATTTGTTGGCTCATGAGGTTAGGGGCACGAAGTGTAAATGCCTGGTCCAATCAATTTAAATTTGAGAAGAAAAATACCTAGAATACACAAGAAGTCAAAGTCAAATTTCTTTGGATCGGTTAGGGTGAGGTTGTTTCTAGATAATAATGGTAATTGAAAGCTAGCATCTACGTAAAAATGTAATATTTTTTTGAATTTCTTATATAACTTGAAAGTATCATAATATCAGCTATATGTGAACGTTATCAAAGTAGAATTCAAGTAATATTTTTATACCCTCAATATATGTATTCAGTATTTGTAAAGTAATTGCCCTTGACTAAGTAAAAATTTGCAATTTTACCTTGTGTCGCGCGTAGCCTTAGACGTTTGACCTGGAGTCATGACTCTTCTAGAAAAGTAAGGTTGTGCACCTGAAGTTTTGCTTTGAAATTGATTAATATATGTTATTGCCATTGACTTACTTAAAATTTTCAACTTGTGTTGTGTGTACCCAAAATATAATTCAATCTATACTCAGGAAATTTATAGAAATGTTGGTCAGCATTTGTAATTGTGAATAGGGTTTTGCTTGTGATTTTCAACTTGTGTCACTTGTACCCAAAAAGGCATATATGCTAGTTATGAAACTGATCAGAAATGTTTGTCAGAATGTGTAATTGTACACCTTGGGGATTGGTTATATAATTATTCAGAATTTATTGAGTAATTGCCCTTGACTTTCCAGAACCGTTCTAGAATGTTGTGTCATGTAATCCTCTACAGGTGATTGAGCTAGAGTCAACAAAATTTACAGGAATGATGATCAACATTTGAAGCTGTGCGCCTGGGTTTTTTGTGTAGAATTTTTCAGTTCTCTTAATGACATTGCCATTGATTTGGTATAAATTTGTGATTGTTTCAAAGTTCAAAAAGTATTCGACTTGGAATACTAAAAGTTTACAGGGGTGTTGGTCAGCAGGTTTAGTTATGCACCCGGGAGTCGGTTTGTGGATTTGTTCAGGTTTTTAAGATTTTGCGCTTAACTTAGTGCTAGTTTTGCAATTTTCAACGTCGCGCCTAGCCAAAAAACATTTGACTTAAAGTCAGTGCATTGCAGAGTACAATACAGAGGAGTGTTAGGGCATTTGTGTCCTATGAACACACTTTTACTTTTAAAATATTTGCATGGGGAATATTTATAAATATTTAAAAGTGAATGTTTTTTACAGGAAGATCATATAAAATACATTTCACAAGAACGACTCCAAGAAAGATGCGGTACCGACTGTTAAATACAGGTCCAAGTGAAGGAATAAAACTTACCGTTTGGTACTCAAGACCAAACAGACTTGATGTGTTTGTCAATGGAGACTTTATAATTGCTTCAAATGCGCGAATTGACAGATTTGGTAGATACATTTTATCAATGTCGAGAGGTGAGTACAACTCGGTATTCTTATGTAATATTTTTTTTCAGTTTAGTGTTCTTAGTAGTTTTATCTTTTGCTATCATCAAAAGAAGTTGTATTTTTTTGCCTTTACAATTAACCGTCTTATTGTGTACGTTTTAATTATTGTTTTCTTGAAAGTAGTCTTCTCTTATCAGGATTTTCTCCTTATATTTGATATAATAAATTGATAATTTCATATTATGTGTGTGATTCAAAAACCTTTTTGTTAGCAAGTATACTGAAATGATATGTCCTTTTTTACTATAAGTACTTACTTGAAATCCAGTGGGCTTGACTTCGTTCCGACATGTTACAAATGATCAGTTTTCAGAATGTTATCTTTAGCCTTATGCAAATTAGATTTGTTACAAAATTCCTTAAACAAATAATTGACATTGAGCACGTAACAATTTTTATATAATAACATCTTCATATTTATCTTAACATTTGCACCGACTCTGTTATTGCAACAAAGACCAATTTTCTTGACTAACAGATGCATTATTAATACTTTAGTGTTCATGTTAATCATTTTCAGGTGTAGAGTTCATTCCACAATTAGCGAACATATCGGGCACAAATTATTTTGATAGAAGTCGAGGAGAAATTACATTTATTGTTAAGGGAAAAGCACAAATAGACATTATATCACAGGAAACATTTATAGTGTCATTTGGGTTTCCAGCTTTATCGTACTCTGAACTCTTTGGCCAAAGTATTGTAGAACATCTAGCAGCCTTTTTAGATATACCATTGACTAAAGTGCGAATAGTAAACGTAGTTTCAGAATCTATAAATGGACGCAGTAAGAGATCGGAAGATGATAATATGGTTATAGAAATTGAAATAGGAAATGAGCCAAAACAAGGTATTATCAGAAATTATAGTAACGCCTTTCTTAAATATATTGTCTATGTTATATATAATCATTACGGTTTTACCATTTAAAAAGATTTGTCATATTGATAGATGACAACCTCATATAAAGGAACGATAATTTCCCTGTTGATTTTACGGCGGACGGTTTAACAATTGTAAAAATAAAAATGCGTTTAACTTAGTTCAAATAGCATGAAAACAATGCCACTTGATTCCAAAAACATATTATGGGTCACGGATAATGGTCGCCATGTTCAATATGACAAACGTGAAATTTAATACGACTTTTTATGCAAAAAGTTTATTTAAAATTTAGGTTGACACATACCATGAATTGTGTACAGTGTGTTAGGGCAATAATGTCTACATTTTATCATTATGATAATTTTTATATAGTGTTGATCCGTATTAAGGTGGGTAATCTTATCTTAATTGTCACGATTAAATAGATGAAATAATTATTTGATTATCTTATTTCGGGATTGATTTTTTATTATCTTATATTCAACCTCTTATATTCGTTCATTTCTATATTAATTTTCGTTTTTGTAATATACAACTTAACATATAGACATGTTTGATTAGGTTAATGATAATTGTACATATATCGTTTATAGAAATGAATATGACCATAGAGGATTCGATTGAAAAATCCGCCCTCGCTGAACTTGTAGCAAAAATTGTCAACGAGTGTCAGCTTGGAAACATCTCGAACATTCTCGGTGATTCAATTGTTTGTGGGAAAATAGAATTTCCGCCTGATGATATAGAAATTGCCACTATCATTTACAACAATGAGTATCCTGTACATCTTTATTTCCATGATAAACCAGAAGCGGAATATGAAAACGTTTTGTTGGAAACTCAGCCAAAAATAAGAGCTTTTGATTTTGAGGTAAATATCTTTGTAATTCAGCTAAATTAACATAATACAGTAACGAGTATTTTGACATTATTTCACTTGTTTCATTGTAAGCAATGGTGATTTAACTGACTTGTAACAATTGAACTAATATTTGCCATTTTCACATCTTATGCCTTTTTTGATGCCTTTTCTTGATCTTTCAGGGTTTAAATGTAACAAATCTTGGAACCGTTGAATACCCTTTGGCAAATTTCGGTGATGATACGAAATGGTACAGGGCATCCGCTGGCTGTTTTGAGCGGCAGCCTTGCGATCAATTGTACAGACGGATGGTTTAATTTTTCTGATCTTGCAATTTCTCACAGTGGTCTGGACTACGTATTGGATTTCAACATAATCTATCCAAAAGAAGCTGAACATTTCATTCTTGAATCTGATACATTTAATGTAAATGGGAGGCCATTAAAGATTCATGTCCAGAATGAAACAATTGATGAAATATATGCATTTGAACAGTTTTCAGTGACGCTTAATCTTATCGATCGAAAAACAGAGGAAACTATCACATATATACATTGGCGCGTAAGTCTTAAGGACATATAATGTAAAAATTATTAAATACTTTTTATTTGAACAACTTTGATAAATATGTTTCATTGACCAAGCTAATTTTGTAAAGCAAATGTTTGTTTTTTGTTTGCTTTTTTTTAACTTGTGGTTCTTTCTTTTCAGGGTCATAACTGGTTTGCAGAAGTTAGTTTAATTAAAACATCGGCGTATGGCAATTTAAACGGTATCTTAAATACGTCTTTTAATATTGACAATGGTCAAGCTACATTTGATAATCTGTCAATCAATGGCATTGGTCTGTATTATCTGAAATTCGAAGTCATTTCCGATCCTCCAGAATATGATATGTTCACGAATTTGATGATTGCAGTACAGAACCCGATTCATGAAAATATGACCGCTGAAAATACAGCTACTATCAAGGTTTGAAATATTTGCTGTTTCAATTGTTTAATGATAAACAACTATTTCCTATCATATTTAATTTGGAAAAAATATTTTTCGCTAATATAATAAATTTTACTGTCACAAATGCCTGCCAAAACGTATGTGAACAATTGTTTATCCAAGTATGGAGTAGGTACTTTATTTAATTTAATTTAACACATCAAATCTTTAACAAGCTATTAAAGACTGATGAAATTTAATGATAAAGTATCTGACCATCATATAGTTAATTATATCACAAATTCATAACATTATATTTATATTACATAATATTGTACGAATGTTGAAATTAATATAGAAGTAGTATAATTAAAGTATATAAGTTTGTTCCATCGATATTTTTGTCTTTTTTTTAAAGCTTAAGTTAAATGCAAGTTTTGGAGAAATTCTAACTACGGAAGATGAACTCAATGCATTTGAGCAAACCTTTCTAACAGAGTACGCAAATATGTGGCAGGGAGTGAAATTTCTGAAGGGCTATGCATACGCAGGTTAGCTTTTAACACTTTTGTTACAAAATTTTTGTCCATCTTAGACCGTACGGTAACATAGCATTAAAATAAGTAATTGCAATTTTATTTTTATCAAATATATTTAACTTTTACATAACCACTTCTGATTAATTCAATATAACATAAAATTATATTCTTTTTGGTACATATAATACCTATCTTGCAGGGAGTATATCGGTCGAGTTTGCTATTTGCGGGACAGCTGCAGAAATCAATACAATAATGTATGGTATCTGTAGCCTCATTTACAACGGAACGATGTACACTTACAACAACGAAACGTTTGAAATGCTGCCATACCTAACAATCAACAATGAGGCATTTTACGGAGTAAAATGTGGAGCTATCGTAATTACTATTTTTAATTTTTATCATTAGCCGTTACTTTTAAACTTGTTCGTGCAAATGTGAGTCGTTTAAAGTATAGAAAGGTATACATTACAAGAAAATTTTAAAAATGCACTTAAACATGATGGAAAAAGCCGAAAATATCTAAAAATTACTGTAACAGCTGGTTATGCTTGGCGCGGCTCCATTCATTTTATAATAATCTTTTTCATTAATACTCAATATAAGATTGTAAAAGAGCAAACTTATTACGTCGCATGGTATTGTTGTATGATTACATAATATAATATAACTGTTACAGTACACCTCACATGTTCCTTTTAATTCACATAAATGATGTTAAGAGACAATAAAATAATGCTTTTTGAAAGAACTTTAAAACCTATTCACTAATATATAAATTATTTATATATTTCATTCTCTTGTGTTTCACGTTGCAGCCATTTACTGACATAACTGACGAACATTTTGTGACGTCATGGCTTTTCCTTGTCAGCATTTCAGTTGTTTCGATGATCGTAGTGATAGCGCTGTTAACGTGTGCCATTTGGAAATGCTATTTCGTTCCCAAAACAAAGATCCATGGTACTTTTTGCACATTATAAAATTGTTTAAAGAAATGGCACAGTAAATTAAAACTAATTAAAGAACAACAATTCTTAATGATATATATCTAAAACAGTAAAGAAATATCTTTAAGCCGGAACAATGTGGCTTCATGATTTCATAACTTCATGAATTAAAGCGCATATCGTTACGCGGCAAAACTAAAATTGAAAAATGACTTAAAACCATTAAAATGCATGGAATTAATTGAAAATGGCTTTGTTTTGTATGCACCATCAAATTTTATTTCAGTCGTGAACACCAGTTCTTACATTTTCACTCGTGGATACACATTTCAACTGTTGTTCACTCTGTAAAGTAAACTTCGATGTAAAACAAATAAAAAGCAAATATCCTTTTTGCAATCATATTTACATGAATAGAGATAAAACAATAAGATTACCAAACAATTCAAAAATGTAAAAGGAGATCATAAATTGTTTAGACCCCTTTCAAGACTCAGCAGTTTAAGCAAAATGTTTTAATAATTGTTTTTATTATTTACTAATTTATTTGTCTTCATTTTTCTATCTTTTCTTCATATATTTATATTTATCATTCTCCTTGTTAAACTTGTTTTGGTCAGAATCCCTCCTTTTGTTGTTGAAAACGTATTATATTTTTGTGCCAGTATTGTACATTTTTTATTATTCCAGGTGTCAATTGCAATAGTTATACTGATGTGGAAAAGTTGTCCATCGAGAATCTTCTTTATGTGGAACCTTGTGCAACTGTATGTACGGCTCGAGTAAACACGGGAATCAAACCGAAACAGGTGCCTCGTAGTTTTCAGAATTCTCCTTGGAAATGGTGAAAGAAGATGAACTTTGAAAATGTAACATAATATACGATTGCACCCGTGACATTATCATAATTCATATAAATAGCTACTGTGAATTTTTACCCCTCCCCCCCCTCCAAATAAAAAGTAAAAAAAAAAAGAATTAAATAAATAAATGAATTCAAGCAATATATTTGACAGGTTACATGGCCTTATATAAACGATTGTTTGTATAAGGTCACATTGCAAACAACCGTTCATTTGCGGCCATGTTACCTGTTTACATTATTTTAACGAATTTATAATACTTTCTTTGTAAGAGAAACAAATGACACTAATTCATAAATCGACAGCAACCTTATAATAAATAAATAGATCATACATGTGTAATCGTCACGATAATCAAATGAAATACGACCTACACAACGTGCAGTATTATAAAAGGAATCATCTTTTAAGCCATATAGGCAGAATGACAATTTTTTTAGAACACATTTCTTTAATGATGATCTGTGTTAGACCTCCCGATTGACAATATAACATAAAGATGTATATGGTTATCATTATGTAATGTGTCACACTGTTTTACGACGGAGACAATTTCTTCAGATATAACAATTTTGTTATCACTTTATGATTTTATTTTTTTGTTTTTTTGGTCAAGGATTTTTATATAATGGTTTTTTTTATTGAGTTTTTGTTTCATAATTATGCCCCTTCCAAAGAAGAGGGGTACATTGCTTTGTCTGTCCGTAGGTCTGTCAAATTATTTCAAATCAATAACTAAAGAACGCTTAGGCCTTCCAATTTCAAATATGGTATGATGATTGTTCATGACCAGTAGATGATCCTCTTGATTTTGGGTCAATTGGTCAAACGTAGCTGACCTTGTAGTTAACAAAGGTTTCGATCAATAACTAAAGCACGTTTATGCCTAAGAACTTTAAACTTGGTATGAAAAATTGATGACCCTATTGATCAACGAGTCAACATCACATTGGCCTTGTAGGTAATGATGGTTTCTGATAAAAAAACAATGAACGCTTTGGTATAGGAATTTCAAACTTAGTATGAGTGTGTATGACCAGTAGATGACCCTTTTGAATTTGGGATCAATGAGTCAAAGGTCAAGGTCAAATTGACTGTGTACGTTAAAACGGTTACCGATCAAAAACTTGACAACCCAAGGAATGTTTGCCCTCAAATTACTTAGGTGCTTTGGACTTGGCCAGTAGGTGACCCCTTTTGAGTTTTTGGGTTAAAGAGTCAAGGTCATATTGATCTTGTACCCAAAAAACGGTTTCCGATCAATAATTTGACCAGCCATGCGCTGCTTGCCCTGAAACTTTGTAGGTGCTTTGGTTGAAGCAAGAAAATGATTAATTTGGGATCAATGGGTCAAAGGTCACGTTGACCTTAAAGGTAAAAATCGGTTTACGATCAATAATAAATGGACGCTTGGGCCAAGAAACTTCAAACTTGGTATGATGATTGCTCATTATCAGAAGATGACCCGGTTGTTTTTTGGTAAAGGGGTCAAAGGTCAAGGTCACATTGACCTTGTATGTAAATCGGTTTCCAATTAATTACTAAATAATGTTTGGACAACGGAAACTTTCAACTGTGTATTGTGATTGTCCATGACCAGTAGAAGAGCCCCATTGAGGATCAAAGGTCAAGGTCACATTGATAATGCCTTTTGATAGTTTGCTCACTAGGTCAAAAGTCAGTCTCAATAACTAGACCACATGACTCATTGTCTGCCGATAGGGGCATAGATATTTTTCAAGCACTTCTTGTTTTGGTTTTGTTTTATTGTGTCATTTCCTTTTTTCAAGTTTGTTTTAATGTTTGTTTTTGAGTTATTTTTCTTGTAAGTTTTTTTGTACTAAGTCATATTGTATTCCTGCATGTGGAATGTTTAGTCATCACATATCATATTAATGAAAGTAGTTAATTACTTCGATTGGAAAACCCAAAAACGAGTACATTTTGATATTACGATTTTTTTTCTTTGATACTTTAAGACTTTTCATTTTATTATTTGGAATAACTTCATAAAATATATTTAAGATGCAAGTGAGATATGTAGACTTATACATGTCAATGTTGATGTTGTGTTGAGCTTAACAGTGTACACATATCAGCTTTGTGATCCCATATTGCCAGGTGTCTGTCGAGGGCACAATGTCACTATTCACAATTTTAACAAATTTTCCTGAAAATGATATAAAAAAAAACACTTTCATACGTCTTTTACAAGTAATTCACAAATAGGAAATATTTCTCTTCAGTGCAGCATCTAGACATTTAAAAAAGATTTGCCGTTGGGTAAAAACTTGCTTTCCTTACAAAAGTGATGTAAATCTCTGAATTACAAGGCCTATTGATAAGCAGCTTTGAAATGTGGTTACCTAAATAAGTTAAGCAAACAACATCCCGTGTTCATAAAAGCTCTCGCTGTGAATGTATCAGTCCAATGTAAGAACCCCAATACTCAGTGTCTGTCTAACTCCGATCAAAACCGTAAATGGTGTGGCTCTGTTTTGACCTAAAATGGTCGCAGTTTTGTTCAACAAGCAGTTCGGTCTATTAACTATTTATCATACATTCTTAATACATAAGCAGAATAGGGATTATATTAGCATTCTAAAATTGTAAGTGCCGAAGGTGATCCAATATTTTTTATGGATAAAGTTACCATTGTTGTCGCATTGCTAAAGCTTGTTGTCTTCTAAACAAAAGCCCCAAATCTTAAAGGCATTATTGTTTTTCTGTGCTCGAATAATACTCTAAATCAGATAGCATATTTGAATGTGTTGAATATTCTTAAAGATCGGAACATTTTAATTTCACACTTTTACTTGCTCAATTTGACAAAAGACACAGTCTTGTTTTTTGGCACTGAACCAACGTTTATGATCACAATATCACCTTTATAACGATAGATTAACAACTTGAAAAATTGCTATGTATATTGAACGACCAAGAATATTGCTCAGTTGACAACTGTGTAGATAATAAAATTACTTTTATTTTGTACCAATTAAAAAGTATAAAGCTATATAATACCTGCAATCATTATTGTTTGAGTTTTGAAAAGAAGTATAAAAATGTTAGAATATTGTCGACAACCTTGAATGACGCTTGCAAGGAATGATAATGATTGCTGAAGAACTAAAAAATAGAAATATTTCCGGAACATTTTAATCTGTTTCCGTACAATATTTCTGCGTGTTTTAAAGCGCAGAGCCATTTTTTAAAGAATCGATCATAAGATTGTGAAAACAATATCATGTTACTGTCAACAATTTTTAAAACAATAGTTTATCAGGTATACTCTTATATCTCAGCTGCATTGAACACTGTTGCTAATGAATCATATGCTTGAAACTTTTGTAATAAATATAGTAAATGTGTCTGCTGTTTTTATTTCAATTTTCTATCCGATTTTGCATCATTACATAATATTATGTAGTGTTTTAACAAGTACTTTTGTCCACAGTATTCCTTCGATGTGTCTTAATTTGTTTGTTTGATTCCAGGTTTTACGTCACACCGTCACAGAATATGTCATATGGCGACATTCTAGCTTTACTGGTGGAAGAAGACTTCAGGTGCCCTCCCGTGCATTATTTCAGGCACGAACGGGCACCTGAGTATAACCACAGACGTTCAGTTAACTACCTGGATAGTTTACTCACATGAAAGAATCCAAAATTTCTGTCGCTATTCGAACCCACAGCGGTGAGATGCAAGTGGTTTGAAGTCAACAACCTTAACTACTCGGCCAGCGACGCTCCAAATTTCATTAAAAGATAGAACAATGATAATGACTGAAAGGATAGATTGGTGTCTCTATATAGATTATGAATATAGATCAAAGGGAAAATAGTTGTTTGCATTGTTCCAGTCAGTGTTTAGGAAACAAAAGATTCATGACGACACAAACAACGCATCTAAATACTTCATAACAAATGCTCTTTTGATCACTACTCTTTGGGGAATTTAACTATCACATATTCAATTAATATTTCAGTGTTTTTGACACAATATTAACAAAACTAACATTTCAATTAATTGTTTATTAATCACTTGAACAAGTTGTAATACAAAACAAACTACTCCCAATTTTAGCATTGCGTTTGGTAACCGGTAAAAGCACTTTATAGATTATCATTGTGTCACTTTAAACTTATAAAATAGGCTACAACATAACTTGATGCTAACGTGATTAATTAATATTCATTCATCAAATATTGCATATATGAACATAAGAGCATCAGGCTACTACAGTTTGGTATAATGAATACTTCTTCTTCATTTTTAATATCAAAAGAAATAGTAACTACACAATTTTGGGTGGATGGACGATCTACCACTTATTTGATTTGCTTGAGTTGATTCCGTATACGATCACCACCATCCTATGGAAGATGTCGAAGCGACATTTATTTGCTTCGTCAAAAAAACAAAATTCTTGTTAAGTGTGAGAATTAAAGTTCGGTCTGTACATTGACTTTATTATAACGGTACCAGCTCTTATGCTTAACCCAAAAAGCATTTACTTTTCATAACTTACAATTCTAACACTCAGGTGATTTTGTCACCATAGACAAAGAAGGAAAAAAACTGTCGTTAAACTGCCAATAAACACCGGTTAAGGACTACTTGTTTATGCGCTGTTATGTTTTCACCCTCGATTGTATAGTTTACAAAGCATTTTAAAGCAACAATAAAAAACATTTTTTATTTATATTTTCAGTACGTATAATGTTTTCTTTTCATACAATACCGAAATAATATCTCACATACATTAACGCCACATATTAGATACATATCAGTTAATAAATATTTTGACATGCTTACCATTGGTACGGGCCTCAATCTTAAATATTCTATTTCCGCACTAAGTACCTTCACGCATGCGCACTCATACTGAAGATTTTCATGGCGCGAGCCAGACTTCGTATTCATCGATAATAAATATTTTCTGAGAGCGTATTTCTGTATTTTTATAGGTTAATATGAATGTCTGTATTGATCCCATACTTGTTATTCTACATTTTGCCATTCATGATTTTGTGTCATTTGTCATTATTTTGTCTTTGCACTCCTACTGAAGATTTTCATGGCGCGAGCCAGACTTCGTATTCATCGATAATAAATATTTTCTGAGAGCGTATTTCTGTATTTTTATAGCAACCCTCAAGTCCAGAACCTCTTAGCACCTTTCCCATATCGTAAGAGTGGACTGCGACAAATGGTCTTCGTGGTCAATTCCTACGCATCAAAACTCCAAACCGGTGTTAAATAGCCGATATACGTCTCTCAGGCCGATGTTATTTCATAACTATATGTCCGTCTGTCATATGAAGGTTGAACCCTTGTTATGCATGACTTCTACTTTAAAAAGAAGATCCATTTTGGAAGAAACGATAAAATTATTCTAAATATGTATATTCAATTTGTTAAAATGCTAAATTTGATAACACATTAGGTACCTGACATTTTATAGTCTAATATCATTAAACAAAACGTTGAAAGCATACATGTTTGACAAGATCAACCAATATACTTTTCAGACAATTAAGACAAACTATGAAATAGGTATATTTAAAAGACATTTTTTCATAAGGCCTTTTCGGAGGGGAAAAAACGAAAACAAAAATCGTGTTAAATGTTTAATTGTTGAGTAAGTATAAAACAGTTAAACAAGTTCTAAGGTACACGCCAATAAGGCTATTAGTATAGTGATATGGATTTAGCGTTGTGTGTGAAAGACAAACAAGTTTGTTAACATTTTAAATGTTTATTAAATTTATTTATTTATTTATTATTATTATTATTATTACCATTATTATTATTATTATTATTATTATTATTATTATTATTATTATTATTATTATTAATGTTATCATGATTATCTCTATTATTATTATTATTATCATTTCAATAAAACGTGCTGCTTTTTCACGCCATGTGTCTTAATTCCTTCTTAGTAATTATTTGCTTATATAAAACCTGAATCCATTTAAACTGCAGACGCAAATGCTGCACGGGCATTAGTTATAACTAGAAGGTCCAATGAAAATATATTAAGTTCGTACATGTCAACAAAAAATAATAAAATGCCTAAAGTAATGAAAATATATTACACGTACACATAATGTCTAAATCTTAAAAAAAAATCATAATTTTCGTATCTGGAAATTGTATACACATTTTTTAATCTTTAATTTCATCCTCTAATTTTTGTTTTAAGTATGTACGTATTTGCGTCTAATCTCGTGTTTGAAATAATTTAGATATATTGCTTAGTAAATGGACTATAAAAAATGTATAATTAAATATAATAAAACCTTTTCACCACATTTCAATCATACAAAATTAGCTTAAGTCAGGTAATACCATTTCACCGTCGTTGCTTGTAAATTTCAAAAAAGCAAAGTCAAATAAATTCAGACGAATTCTGATCGTCGTCGTTGAACTAAACTTTAGTAATACTTAAAAAAGAAATAAGGATACACATATAAATAAATAACATAAAAAGGGAAAGGAACATTATATCACAGCATCTTTGATATAAACTTAACAAAAGGAAAGGGTAACATTCTAATTAATAGGATTAACTTTATAAAACAGTGCATTAAAGCAGGCGAAATATAAACACCCTTGTTGTGATTGCTCTCAAATGAAAAAAAAACACTGAATCAACAAAGAAAAAAAAACATAATATAAAAGGTAAAATAAGTAAATACAATATACTAACAAATAAATATTTGCTTCACATATAGATAAACGTCTAATTTTATGTCGTGCTTTTTATACGTAATTTTTATAAATGTTTATAATTTCCGTGCATGGTCAAACTTTTCCAACATCTTTCTTTGAAACCAGTAACAACCATTTATTGTTCTCCGAAGTTAACAATATTAAGAGAGAAATCAGAAAGCTCACGTTCAGGTTGCTTTTGACTTTCGACTTCTGCAGCATTTGATTTAAGATTTTCTCTACAAAACGTATTTTTGTCTCCGATAAGATCTCCAGCCGATAACAGTTCTTTTATCTTGCGATTTGAATTCATTACTACAAATAGAATAACAAAATTATAACGTGTCTTTAAGAACATTGCTTCACCATGCTATTCTTGTTTTAGGCGACAAATGATAAATCTTTATTACAACCTTGAAATATGAATATCTCTTAAAACGAATCAAGTCTAAAATTTGATAACCTCCTGCTATAACAGGTAAGGTTGGTAACGTTTAATCATAATATTAAATCAATGCCACTTATCAAAAGCTAGTAAAACATGATAAACAAGATCAACAAGATAAGTCGTTCAATGAATGCAGCCCCCACACATGCTAGTAAGCCTAGAATAAATGGTAACGGACATGAACATTTATTTAATTACTTTTTTTATCTTTTTATTAGTATAAAAACCTAAATTACTCGTTTATTTGTGAGCAGACCTACAAACGCTGCATAGAATAGTTAAAGATAATATTTACTCTATGATCATAAATGTCAGCAGTTATATGATAAATAACTTTAACCATACAAATTGGATGCCAGAAAACATAGTATGTATCGATGCAAAGTGAAATACAAAATATATTTATTTACCTTGAATTTTTGTCCTATTTGGTTTCAAATAGCATTTACAAATGACACATGTCACGACAATAATTGCTATAATCAAACCCAGTGTTGAACCGGCGATGATGAAAAGCCATAATTGGATCATATTTCTTTCGCTACTTGGCTGAAAAAAGCAAAAACGTTTCAGTAATGTTAAGTAGCAAACTAACTGTAGTACAGATGAAACCGGTTTCAATAAAATAAAACATTTTTTGGGCTAGGTACGTTTTGGGTCGATTTTGGCCCAAAATTTTGAAGAAATAAAATATTGAATATAAATGAGTCATTTAATGTCAGTTGACAAAGCAACATATATGCAATTAAAAACTGACGTTCCTTTGTATCTCGGCAACGTAGATGACGTCACGGATGACGTCAATCATCCTCTATTTCGCGCAAAATTCGCAAAAATGGGTAAATTTTGGTGTGATTCTACAAATATTAGGTTTACGCACTTTTTAACCGCTTAGGTTTTTACATTTTATATTCCCATAAAATATTAGCTTTAAATTATCACCTACTATTTTGTGGTTACTGCTTGCGCACTTCTGTTAATTACCCAAAGTTTACACTCCGTCAGTCTGCTGTTTACATACTGGCAAATGGCGACGGATTGGTAAGGGGCGTAATCGAGTATATATTGGTAGTAGGAGAGGCTCCAGTTCTTCAATTAGTGAAGAGATAAATATCACTGTACATTTAAATAACATAAAGTATTTCTCTTTAGTGAACAATTCCAATAATATGCAATAACATTTATATAATTATATCATTTAATTATTATAAGACGTTTATTTCAGATAGATTTTCCCCAGACATTTTAGTTGTTGACACTAATCCACTGATTGATAAATATATGTGACCTTTCTCGTCAATTAAAATATTGTAACACTGCTGCTTTGCTGGGCAAGTGTGTCAACAACTGAATAAATGACTCCGCCTACATTTACCTAGCAGTTTGTCACGTACGCACGTCGGCAAAGTCTTTTAAAGTCTTGATAAAACCGCCCTTTAATGATGATTCACACTTTTAGCGTAGCACCGGTCAATCACTTGTCTCCAGAATCAGTTTATTTAGAAGGGTGGTGTGACATTAAATCTTGTCAAAAAATTCTGAATATAGGTCATTAGTTGCGATTTTGTTTTATACATTTGTATTGAAATAATTTTACAAATTCTTCAAATGTTTGCATGCTTGCAATTATCTTGGAAGTGTCGCAATATTGTACATTATTTTTAACATACGAGTCTCTGTGGCTTCAAAAACTTTATAAGTCACTTCTTAACATTTTTTCTTTCTTTTGTCAGAGGCATTGGTCAGGTATAAAAACAGGTACGTTGAAAACCTTACGCTACCACAGTGATGAAGCATAGCGCATGCTTTACTGTATCATAACATTTGCAAGTTGTAAAGTTACAACATTTGAGAATTTTTTTTAAAGTGTCCCGGAAATCAGTCTTGAAATTATGGCATGTATGTGTGTGTGATAAAACGAAAATGTATGTTATCGAAATAGCTGGAAAAGCATTTTGTCGGCAATTGTACCTATATTTTACTAGTCATAACTTGTGTTGAAACAAAACTGAAAATAAGAAATTCGTCGGTAGTATTTTGTATACTGCTATGCAAATTTATTGCAGTATATTACAGTACTGTTGCACCAATGGTATATGTCATTGAAAAGGGTAGGATTTTTTATGCACTGTTTTTACGTGTTCATGTATATTCTTTACATCATAAAAGGAATTCAAACCTATTTTGTGCTTTGTGTTGTTAGATATGAAATCTGAATATTCAAAGTATGACAATGAAATATGTGGTATTATCCTTTAACAGGAAACATAAATACGAGTGTAAATAATCCGGAACAAAGTTAATGTTGATTGATCACCGCCTTTTCCTATATTCTTCAATAAAAACAGTATTCTAAGCAAGTTGTAAATATTTTTAGTGACTAAGGTAGTTTAAATTATCCGTGCATTTACCTTGCAAAAGAAAAAACTTCCGTAACAGAAAAAATCTTGTACTAGTTCATTTTGTATTTTACTTTTTTACAGAATATAAACAGCCTCTGCATCATCGTATTATAATGATGATCTGTTTTTGAACGATACCAAAAACTTCGACTTAACACTGCCGACTTGAATGTGTGTGTACATATGTTTATGTTTTTCTTCTTTTCCATTGTATTATTTTTTATTTATTTCATTTTATTTATTTAATTATGTTTTTTAAACGTCATCTTAAAATAAAAAAGTAAGTTCTCCGCTGTGATCGCCGACAAATATTTTATGAAACACGAAAATATCCTGTATTCAAGACCTAAGTTTTTGCGAAATCTATATACTGAGTACATAAACATTAATAAATCAATATAAAATCTAGCACGTACGTGGTCTCCGGACATTTTGGCAGGAATTCAAGGGAGGCTAATCATTCTACTATTTCGGCAGTATGACAGTAACTCGATTGTTTTATTTATCAAAAGCGAATTGCAAAATTCTTATTTTGAGTATGATAGATAATGTTTATATTTAATAAAAAGATGCAAAGGAAACGTTAAAAAGTCCAAAAAATACCAAATTATAGGCCGATCCGCTAATCCTTCGCCGGTTCCGACAGTAAGGCAGTAACTTGCCGTAGTTGCCGATATTAAATATTTTGTATTATTTATCAATAGTGATTTTATTTACAAAAATCTTTTTACATATTATTGATATCGTTTTATATTTAATTTAAGATGCAAGAAAATTGGTTAAAGTTCATAAATAAGCAAAATACAGGCCGATTTCGGTAATCATTCGCCGATTCCGGCAGTTTTCCCCGTTTAAATATTTCTTCACTGTTAATTAAACCGATTTTCTTTTAACATTTCTTTTTTTGGAGGACAATCATAACGTTTAAGTTTAATTTATAAAAACAGCCAAAACAAATATTATTAAAATGCATAAATAATAAATAACCAAATCACAGGCCCTCGACGAATCCAGTAGTATGGCAGTAACTCTTCGATCTTAGATTTATTGTTTAATCAAAAGTGATTTTATTTACAAAAATCTTTTGACATATCATTGATGATATTTATATCTTATAAAAATGCAAGGCCATTCTTTATAAGTTCATTAATAACAAAATTACAGGTCGATTTCAGTAAAAACCACCGATTCCGGTAATTCGGCCGATTCCGGTAGGTTGAGTAACCGAGGCATTATGTGAAAGATCAATATTGTATAACAATAATAATAATGATTCTGATGATGATGATGATGATGATGATAATCAAACACGTGCATAGATATAAGTTCTGAACTTTACTAAATAGATAATTACATAAGACCACTGAATAAAAATATTTTCATAGCGGTAATATTACGAATATGTGCCTCTTCGTATGTCAAATTTCTAATAGATTTCGTTGGTTGGCCCTTTTAAACTGAAGAAGGTTCAGTGCCGAAAATTTAACTATGAACTTGTTAAAGTAATTGTGTATTTTATAAAACAGCAGTTACTGAACACACTTCTTAAATAGGGTAAGTAAATTATATAAACAAGTAAAACGTTTTCCTGCGGCTAACATTTTTAATGATATAAATATATCTCATTTAACTATTTTCAACATTGTTTGGGGGATAAATAACGTTTGTATCAGGAATATAGTTGACAATAATCGATCAATATAGAAGAAGGTATTTGGAAACTGGTGACCGTAGTTGAAAGACCGGAGAAGGTCGAACATAAAACAATTATTTCTTTTTAAGAAAATGATTAAATAGGCCTACCATTCTATGAATAATTCCGAGCAAAAAAAAATAAGTAAACACACAAGTTTACAAAATATCTCTATTTATTATGGCAGATTCAACTACGAATATTTAATTTTGTAGATCTTTAGTATAAACAATTTATTGTTTGTAAAATTTGACATAGATATTAAAGAAACATTGATAATTTTCAAACACATCATTCAAGTTTTTCCATCTTAAACGGTAAAATAATTTTAGAAAATTAGAAATGTCACGTAATAGTTTTTTTTCTTAATTATGTGTAATTCGGACTATTTCCCTAGAGGTAAATCCGTAACGTACCGGCAAACGGTATTTAGCCAGGTTTTCGAAAAGGCAATTAACCAATCATGTACGGTTTACAGATCACATGCTCCTCCGTGTACCGAAAACAGGTCACGTGCTCCTCCATACCTCAACAGTTAAACGCGTACTAATACCCTATCATATAGAATAAAAGCTATCGTATATGTATTCCTTTTCGTCTGTTTTATATACTTCACAGTGACTAATTATTTATGTCTGCAATCGTAATTGAACGTAGAAATGTACATCAAATGTATCATTAACTCCTTTGTATTACACGATAAACAATTAAGAAAATACATATGCGTCACTATATTTTAATTACTCGAAGCGATGCGCTCAAAATAATACGTGACGTTGATGACGTCAAACTGTAGTATTTTTGTTTTGATAGGTTGTTTTGATTTATTATAACTTTTTTGTCTAAACAGATATCTGGCTCAATCTTGCATCATTTGTTAGAAATAAAATTTAATTTTGATATATCAAATTTTGAATATTTTTTGCCGATAGGCCAAAATCGACCCAAAACGTACCTAGCCCTTTATCAAAAAATTAACAGAAGCTTCTTTTATAAACAAAATTTGACTAAGTTCAGTGTAAGTTCTTTTTGAGATGACTTACTTTATCGCCACATTCTACTCCATAAAACGTCCTACTGTTCACTGTCATAAACGGTAATAATGTCAAATTATGGCCGTCATAGTGGAACAGCGTCCCGTTTTTTATCTCCTCACAAAGGTCGGAAAGCATGAATTTTACGTTTTCTTTTGAGCCAGCAATGACAAACTCAACACCAATACTACCTGTAAGAAAATGAAGAGTGGTGTTACTACAGTCAAACAGTGAGTTCATCTTAAAATTATTTTACATATCTATCTATATAAAAACATAGAATTTTGTTTGATATAAACATAACTGACATAGAGTGTGTTGAAAAAGCCATTAAATAGAAGAAAAGTACAACCTTCAAACGCAATTCCTTCTACGATTGAAACTTGGTGATAAACGTGTCCGTACTCTGTAAGGAACGTCTGTACAAATGCATCAACTTCGTCCGTTGTATTAAAGACGTCGTTGAAAGTGGCATCAAATTTTATCTTAAAAATCATATAGTTAAATCTTATTTAAAGTTTCATAAACTGCAAAGTTTAGAGCGCATATCATTACGCGACACATATCATAACCAACGATTGAAATCCCTAAAGAGCATGGAAAAGATAAAAACAAAATGTTTCTTTAGTTTATAAGATTAGATTATTTTTCATTCATGAACACCTGATCTTTTATTTTCACTCTTAGCTCCGACACTTGTGAAAGTACTACATACAGGGTTCACTCAGAAAACGTTATTACATGTAAAAGATCTTGATATGTGTTAAAACAAGCAATTTTCCTGTATATAACATGACGTAAGTATCTTTATAATCCTAGATCAAGTTAACTAAATAATTCAAAATGAGTTGACCGTTTGAAGGAAACATCGTTGCTGTTCGAGCGATAGAAAGTTAAAATAGAAAGGCATTTACCGACTGTTACAAACAATATTGCAATAAGAAATAATTTATCTAAAATTAAAAGAAAAATGAACAGAAGAATTAAATAGTATAAATAAAAATACACAAAAATAAGACAAATTATTGGATTACTTGGACCAGTGAAGTTTCTTCCACAGTCATATTGACGTGTCTAGGATCCTTTATCTGTACTCTCCAATTATATGTCAGGATATATTCTTGTGGATTAGATACAACCGTGATCTGTAGAAAATACAGACCGTACCCTGTTACAGACAGATTATAGAATGACGCTCTGCCAGTTCCGACATCAAATGGCGTATTAAGAATTCCTGTTAGGTCTGCGTACACCGATGGTCGTATCATATCGACTTCACACGTCCAAGTATGACCCTGAAATAGGAGAACTGTCAATATTGCATCGCATACAGATCAAACTGATTTAAGAATTACACACAATTTTACTTCTTAAAATGGAAGTTTTATAAATATTAAATAAAACTTTTAAATTGGGATTCAGTCTGACACCTTATATAATTATACAATCGTGTTACTACATTGTACAAACTTACCCTCCAAGTGATATTAGTAATATCGTCATTTGTGTTGAAATCAACAAGTCCAAGTATAATGTCAAACTGATCATATGCATATATTTCATCTGATGATTGATTTTGATTGTAGACATGTATTTTCAGTGGCCTTCCTGTAACATTAAATGACCTTGATTCCAGAGAGAAACGTTTCGCTTGTTCTGGATAGACCACTCTAAATTCAAGAGTGTAGTTTTGTCCACTGTGTGATATGGCAAGATCAGTAAAATTGAACCACCCTTGAGAACAATTGACGGTTAGCGCGCCACTTAGAACCGCCAAGTCATTTCCAGAACCTTTCTTTATTGCAACAGTCATTTGCCAGGGGTATTCCAACGTTCCGAGATCAGTTACATTTAAACCCTGAAAAAATTATAAAATATATGATGTAAATGAAAAGTGTATCTCATCGACAATAATGTAGTATCATTTATCATTCTGTTTAAAGTTGATTATTAATATTTTCGTGTATATGATCAGTACAAATCTACTACCTTAGTACGTACTTCCGTTCTTGGATGTGTTCTTGCAAATAGATTCGTATTTTAGAGATCACTTTTAAGCATAAAGTTAAATCTTTAATGTATTTACATTTTTTTCAAACAAAAGGTAAAAAAGTAACATGCATATTTCAGGCATTTAAGCAGTGCAAACATTTTATGGCCATACACAGACTTACAAACTTACATTAATGTCTATTGCTCTTATCTTTGGCTGCGTTTTCAACAAAACACCCTCATATTCTGATTCTGGCTCATCGTAGGAATAAAGATAACTCGGGCTTTGACTACTATAGACAAAAGAGCCAATTTCATAGTCATGTGAAGATAATTCTATTTTCCCGCATTCAACGTTTCCTTTCAGAATATTAGAGATATTTCCTAGCTGACACTCATTAACTATAAGCGACAAAAGCTCGGTTTGAGTCGCGTAGCTCACCGAATCATCCAGGGTCGAATTTAGTTCTGAAGAAAGACAAAGGTACTATGTTAATGACAGTTACAGTGGTTATGTTACAGTTAAGAAATATTACATCAAGCTAACAAATCAAAGGATTCTTATGTATATATTTGTCAAATGTTACTTTTCCATATAAAAACCCGTCCCTTATTTAAATTTATGATTTGTGTACGTTACATAATTTTGAGTTTTACCTAGTTTAGGTTCATCTCCAATTTCTATTATAATACTTCCATCGTTTTCAGATCTCTTTCTTCTTTTATTTCCAGATTCCCTGACTATATTGACTACTCGTATCTTAGTTAAAGGAATGTCTAGGAATGCTGCCAAATATTCAACAATATTTTCACCGAACAGTTCTGTGCTCGTTAATGCGGGTAATCCAAATGACACGATGATTGTTTCCTGTGAAACGACATCAATATCTTCTTGGCCTTTCACTATTAGAGTAATCTCTCCGCGATTTCTATCAAAATAATTTGACCCACTTTTATCTTCTAGATAGGGCTCGAATTCGTCTCCTGTAAGAAATCGAAGACATACAACAAAATTTTATAAGTTAAAATGACCAAAACTTAAATATTGTACTGAAAATTGAGGTTCTGAATCATGTTAAAAGGAAAGAACGTACACATTAAGATTTTTATCAACAATTAAATATTAAGACTCCTATATGAGAGTGTTGAAAAAAAAATCTTGACGACAAGATGGAATACCTTGCGGCATCGATATTATATATCTGCCCCTGTCATCAATACGTGCATTGGTAGAAATCTTGAACCTTCCATTGACAAATACATCAAGTCTATTTGGTTGGGAATACCAGACTGTTAGCTTTATTCCTTCATTTGGACTGACGTTCATAAGTTGGTAATGTATGTGTCTAGGTGTTGTTCTTGTGAAATGCAACAAGTATGATTTGCCTGCGAATAAGTAAACCGTTCATTAATACTTATAATATTACGGGGTCAATAAATTTAAGCAGGGACACAGTATTTATGAGACTTCATACATTCATATTGAAATCGTAACAGGAAACAAGAATTGTACTTTTTATGTTATAATATAAGAAACAATTTAAAATGACATTATGTGCCTCTAAATATAATCAAAGTGCACTGGAAAAGGTATAAAAACTTAACATTTTATCATACCTACTCTCAATTCGTTATTTTGTTATAAACAAATTATCAATAGCTCATGTGACCCCATTTTCTATATTTTTTATAACGTAAATAACTTGTTTCGTTCACTTGGCAAAAAGAGTGGGGCAGTCTTTTCATAATTCTTTGCATTTTTTTTATCATTCATGCCAATGATTTATCATTACTAATTGTTGGTCGATTCTCGTTTATCAAAATGATTACAATTGTTTGAAATTCACCCATTCAATTTAACGCTAAAAGAAAAGATTAACTCACTTTATAGTAAGAAGCGGCACTCAACATATTTTTAAAACATTACAAATGATTATTGTCTCATTGAAATAAATCATTTTATCCAAGTAGCATTAACATTCTCAAGATATATGGATATACAACTTAAACGAAAGGTTTAACTGGTTTTCTGACTTTCAAAGTGTCTTAGGTTGAAGCCATACTCATGTCACGACCACGTTTCAGTAAAAAGTACTGTTCGGCGTCGCCTAGTGGACTTACAATAATAAAACAATTTTGAAATATCCACAAAAGAATAAATAGATAAAAAGATAACAACTTGTTTCTGAAATGAACTTCTGTTGACTGTCATTTGAAACAATCATAGTTACCTGTTGCTACAAGAATGTTAAATAAATTGTTCTTCCTTCTGCATATATGTTGAGAACAGTGGCCATTGTCTAAGGGAACGTCTAACAGATCTAGAAATCCTTCGCTTAATAAAGCTAATGGTGAAATTTGACGATACTTTGCATTTTTGTCCATATTTTTTATAAGAAGCATAGTATAGCCCATGTCATCATTGCACTCGTATGCTTGCCAATAGAAACGGTAACTGCAATTGCTGTTTCTTACAACACCTTAAACACATACAAGGAAAACTACATAAATTATATTTATGATTGTAAATATGTTATGTATGCAACATATTATATGTATATATTATTATCACTGTTCTATTGTTAGAACATAAACTAAATGTATGTACTAGAACTTTCGTAACTGTTGTAGAAAAATCTAGATTATGATTCAGGCATTATATTTATATAGAAATTTCTGGAAAGTTCTTTATTGTTGAAGTTGCTAGATTATGATAACTGTAGAACATGGAAGACTATTCTGGAAACTTCTTAGCTTAATATATATAGGGGACATTTTTCATTCCTTTATCTTTTAAGTCATCAGTTACCTTTCAAGTCATCAATACATTTGGAGTATACTCAACTTGGATATTAAGTAATTTATTGGAGCTTGGATTTTAAAGTAAATTATTATTGTGGATTTTATTGTGGGAATTTATTCTAAAGTGTTTTTGGATTTAACTTGGATTTAACTGTGCTATTCAAAAAGGGATCATTCCAGGATCAGACAAGACATTTGAGATTTATATTTTCATTTGGATTTCAGGTATTTGTAAACATGAATTGTTATTTAATTTTTCTTTAATATTTTTTCTGTAATAAATTTGTTATTGTTAAAAGTTTGTTGCTGGATTTTCTTTCTCGTTACGCCTGGCCTGTAACAAAAATGTAACATGACACTTAAATATTTACTGTTAATTTCAACCAAACAATAGGACAATTTAAAAATGTCAGTTTCATAAAATCTTAACTGCAAATTTCATTTATCTTGTGCTTTATATGTGCCATTGTGATTTGCGCTTGGTTTGGTCGCGGGCGAAAACAGGGAATGACACAATCACCCACCGTAAATTCCTTATAAAGCAAACATTTTTCTAGAAAAAGAAACAATATAAAATGCGTCTTAAGGCAACTAACTTGCATGGAAAATAAAATGGAAATATTATCTGCAACAAAGCATTTTAAAAATGCTATGTAATTGTCGCTTAAATCGTTTTTATTTAAATGAAGATCATAAGTGGTTGGTTCAATGAATCATTTTGAATATAATAATTCACCTTTGTTAGGAGCTATGTCTTCTAAAGGTATCCTTGTCCCATTTATCATCGTTATCATTTCTCTTGGAATTTTGTTGTTGTAATCAATGTCTTTGTACCTATTATCGTTTATAAAATACTTTGAATATCAAAACTCCTTACTTTATATATGTGTTTAATCACACTTGTACTTAAGCTAAATCATTTAGAAAATAGGATAAAATACCGTTAAAGCGGGTACTTGGTTGGTGCATAGAATATGTTGAACATTACATAATCATTACAATTGATATACCCAATATATCCTAGTCCACATAATTAACTTTTTGTTTTGTTTTCCCTTTTCTAAATTTTTATTTAGATACTTACACAAAATGTTACAGAGATATAACAATACTGACAAAAATCGTGAAATTCATTATAAGAAATGTTAATACTTCGCTAGATTAAGATAAACCATGGGAATAAATATCAACAAGAAGAACGGACATCCAATGAACGCACTCATAGCAAAACCTAGCAAAAAGACTACATGTCTATTGATACAGTCAATATATAACAGTTATGTGTTGAAAATATATCTGCATAAACATTTAAGATGTAAAAACAAAATCTAAAAGTCTAAGATCTAAATTGCCGCGCAACACGGCAAATTGGAAATATTGTAGGTTAAATTTCTTTGAGCCATTTCGTGAGCGAATGTTAGTTTAGTAAGGAGCACAGAGCGCTATCACACATTCTGTTTTAAAGTAAATAAATGACAGGCTTACATTACATGGTGTAAAAAATATAAATATGTTGGTACATACTATTTTATTACATGTATACATTCATTAAATAAACAGTGTAAAATCAAAACTCCACTAAACCAATCTTACTCTGATTTTGGAATGACAGTTCCATTATGTCCAAGAAACGTTCCATCTAGGTCTTTCAGAAACGCCAACCGAAAGACATCACAGTCAATTGAATAGCAGTTGTATGAAACAAGCCTTAAATGAAACAGCAGGCATATTACATGTCACAAATAAGAAAGTTTACTAAATGGAAATCTTTAAAAGGAATAATAGAAAGTATACCTCTAATGATTGATTATTATGATCAAACGTAAAACGGGCTGTAAATATTTGATATTGATCTGAATGAACAAATTATTTCTATTTGCTAATTCAAAAGGTTTCTTATCTCATTTAGATTCTTTCTTTGATATAAAGGTCAGATTTTTCTGGTACAAACATGGTTTATAAGCAGGTGCATTTTACCTTTCAGTTCTTTGGAAGAAGACCTTGTTTGCATGATCTACATCGAACAATTTTATTCTTTCAGAATAAATTGGACGTTGAAGCTCATTTATACCAAGATTCGTTCTTAAAGCGTAATTCTTCTGGCAAATGGAATGGTTATATTTAGCAAACGTTACATTTTCCATTTTAGTCAATCCAACAGCAGACGTATACTCTGGAAACACAATTCCAGACATCCCACTTACAGACTTGGCTAGTCCATTTAATCGAACCCATACCATATCCCCACAGTCAAAAGATGAAGTCTGTCCTACAAATGTCGTGTTCCTAACAGTAACAGAAATATTTAGAAACACGTCACAGATTGGTTGATGTCTAGCAAGTTTTGCAGTTATACCTATTTGGTTTTCAATTAGAATGTTTTGTTGAAAGACTGCATTAGTGTTGCCATCAAACATAAGTCCAAAATTTGAATTTTTCCAGCCCAAAAAGCCAGTTACTTTATTACACTCTGATTGCCTATAAAATCTTGGAGAAATTACAGCCCCTTGATAGTTTGAGTATATTTTGTTGTTCGCATACATATCTTTAGTTTCCTTGCATTCTAGAGGCGGTACTTGATAGCCAATACGTTCCGAGGATGAAACAAGGTTATTTTTTAGAGTAAGATTCTCTGCATGGATTGCTTCAATCCCAATGTATGTTGTTTTGACAACAAGGTTGTGTACAATTTTAGTATTAGTAGATGCCGAAAGTATTCCTGAAATTATAAAAAGATGTTCCGTTACAGACATTATTTCTGCCAGAGTTATATAGGGTTTGAACATTTTCACAAAATATATAACACAAAATATATCACTATACAAAACAGATTTTTATGTTATTAATGGCATTTTAACGATTATGCAAAACATTTTTCCAAGCCAATCCACATATTATTGTAATGAATTGGCAGCCAATACACAAATGTTATTTTACTTAAATTATACCTCAGAATTACCACTATTTTGGCTTATTTAAATCTTGTTCCATGACAATCCACAGCTCATTATGCATATAAAGTTACAAAATTTAGCATTTCATTCGTAACAAAATGTGTCAATTTGTGTTGTAATTAGATTTCTGTTGGCGTATTTTTGTGGTAGTTTTGTTGCTGTTGTTAATTGTACTTTTTTTATAATAATTCTTGTTGGTTTTCTTAATTATGGCCCGCTAATAATCAATATGTTTCTGTTATGTATCTAAGTTTTCATAATGACAAAAGCGCATATCGGTATGTTATATTATCAATTATATTAGGAGCATACGTATATGTTTTCATTCACTAAGATTTACCTTTCCCTTTGTTGTTATATAATACGTTATTGGTTACGCTGATATTATTGATACCGATCACACCCACAGCTGTGCCTAAACCACTGTGAAATGAACAATTATTTACTGAAGACGGCTTATATGGTTAATTCTGTTACCAACATCAAGGGTATTTTGCCAATGAATATTTGGGTCAACAAGATACAGAAATGTCCTTCCTCGCCTGTATGGGGTAAAACTCAAACGTTCGATAGGTTTTTGCAAAAATTCCTTAAAAAAAGCATACTTATATACATTAAAAAAATATTATATATATAGATATTAAGCATGAATAAACAATATGTTGTTTTATTATTTTATATAATTTGAGTTATTTAAAAGTATCTATGAATGCAAATTTTTTAAAATTGTTTTAAAAATAAAAATTTATTATGCATGTTTTTCCCCCAAATAAAATTATTTGTATATACTAACCAATTTTTTTAATCTTATTTATAAATATAATTCCCCCCTACCCTTTATGAAACATTTGCCCCGATTTTTTTATTTTTGCGAGAAAAGGATCCAAAAACCTTTTCCCTCGAAAACGTAAGTTTTTGGCCATTTGGGTAATTTTTAAATCGTCCCATGGAAGGGAAAAAATTTGGTGTGTTTGAAAAACAAATTATTTTTTTACTGTTTGTATGGGGATCTTAGTAAATTTCGCTTTTTTTTAAAATTTTTTTTATAAATAAAATTTCTTTTGTTGTAAATTTTTCAGGTCCTTCGGCCATCTTTTTGTTTCCCAAAACATTTTTTAAAAGGGTTTAAAAATTAAAATACCGCAAAACCCCTTTTGGGGGTTGAGTTATGTTATACTATTTCATTATCCCTCATGTACAGACTCATTCAAACCGAGTCTGCAATTTTCATGTAATTTTATTGTACTGAATGCTTCCAAATGATTACACTTTATCTTGATGTTTATATAATGTCCAATGAAAAAACAGACCTCTTGAATATTTCTTAATTGATTTTTAAAAGAAAAACCCTTGAAAAATAAAAAACCAAAAATGTGTTTGTACTTCAACGGCCCATTTAATTCCCAGTTTTTTTTATCTAAGTCAAGGTTTTTTTAATTTCGAAAATCCCTTTCCACTGCCATGGCCCAAACCCGGGGTTTGGGATTTTTATGAAAAATTTCATCCCCCTTTTGCCCATTGCATTTGTTTTCTGAAAAAAACAATTTTTTCGTCCCTGGATATACAGTTCTATTTAAGTACGTCCAAGACAATCCTTTACTTTTCCCGATAAGTTGCAATCCTCCAAAAACACCTGCAAGAAATAAAGTAATTAAAAGGAGTTTCTTTATTTAAACACATTTATTAACAGCCATATTAAGCTTACGTGTGTTTTAGGCATACTGAAAAGGCCTGAAAGAGATTAGTTGCAACAAGACATTATAAGAGGATATTTAGAGATAACCTTTTGAACGCAAGTGAACACAACGACAGAATATTAGCCCATGTCTAACGTTTTCATTACAAAATTTAAGCGATCGTCCGCTTTTCTAAATGTTTGATATGCTATATTTCGATAATTTGTTTCTTAACATTGTCAAAACAAAAGGAATGACTTAAAAGTGGAAAATTACATCTGCCGCCGATAAAATACATAAAAAAACATAAAAACACTCGGTACCTCTAATCTAGCCGCCCGCTCTCTATATAGAAATTAGAAAAGAGGACGATTCTTTTTCCGATCTTCTATTTTCAGAAACAAAAGTCACTGCCGTGCTATAAATAGCTATCGTTTCGTTGTTGTGAAGACGGCTTAACAGTAATATGATGCACTTCCCCGTGATAAAATTATTGAAACAATACAGAATTGTTTTATCGACATATAATACACGCTGCACACCGGTTAAATAATTTAAATTCGTTACTGAACCGAAATGCCATCAACAAATATGTATTTAAAATCTTACCAATACATTTCCTTTCTAGATTTGCTCCAGTTCCCGGAATAAAGGGTGATGGTAAATTGTTTTCATAAAGAAAGATACTAGCATGTCCAAGAAACGGATCTCTAGGCCATCCTATGACTAACATTCCTCCTCCTTTTATGATTATAACTTCAACTTCAATTGTATAAACTGCTTCCGGAGAATTTATAAATTCAAGGCCGCCAAACAAAAGCAATGTTTTAAGTCTGCAAATGTCTGTTAAGTTTACTTTTACCCAAGTATCTGAAATATTGTGCATATTACTTATATTTTTGGTTCTGTCATACTTATTAAGCCTGTTTGTTCTTTTTACGTATGATCATAACATATTTTAATACATGTCTTGCAGTAGCAAATGTTTCTCAAACAATTATGAACTAATGTCATCGACTTAAGTCACGTTATTAAGAAAGAGCTTTTCAAATCAAACATATGCTTTCATTAAACGAGTAAACGATCAAATAAATTTCTTACTTGGTAAAATTTTAACGTGTTCAAAATCCTTCGGCACTCTCGTGCCATTTTTGGCACTGTTGGTCATATACCCGTCTAGTTCTAGCTTCCATATTCTCCAGTCATGCCAGTAAAAGAAAACTGGCGGTGAAAATTGTAACGGTGGCGTTTTATTAGGATCCGGGGGAAGCTTACAGTCTTTATAGAAACACTTATATATCCGGAAGTTGATTAACACATCTTTGGTATTCAAGCCAGTGTTGGAACCAGACGACGTACGACTATTTACTAAAAAAGATTGCAATACCATCCTTAAAGATGTTGATCATTTCTAACTTTTACTGGATTAATAATCATTTGTTGTATATAACTGTATCCTTGAATCGTAATTTTACAGGACATTTTGCTTTTGACTTTTCAAATTTTTATGTGAAGTAAAGACTTGTTTTTTAAATTTAATTTGTAACTAAGAACATTGTATTTATTTTATAAACTTTATGCTCTAAGGGTATTCTAAATTGAATAATTATATACCTAAAAATGTGATTTCTTTGTTAAAATTGTCCCAATGCCAGTCCCCAAATGAGCCGTCTGAGTGTTTGATAGGTACTAAAGATGCATTTAATCTATCATCTTCTACAGAAAACCAATCCGGAAATTCGGGAACGTCCATCGAAATATTTAAAAGTTTTCCCCCAAAACTGGGAAAATTGTTTTCAAATTAACATTTTAATATTTAAAAATGTCATAAAAACCAGCATTTTACCCAATTTTTTGGGAAAAAAAAAGCCCCTTCTGTAAAAAATTAAGTTTATCATGTACCCCCCTAATTTTTACAAAAAAACTTAAAACATAAAATTTAAATTAATAGGAAATGCAAAATATAGCTACATAAAAAGTATTGAATACGAACCTCAAAATCGTAAAAAGAGCCATAGAAACTAACGTTGTTAAAAGCTGTCAAGTTCTCAAATCCAAATTTGTATGATGTATTACTCAACAAATTACACATCCAGCCTTTGACGTGAGTAAATCGGTTATTAGCATATGGGAGTGTACTTATTCCATACTTGTTTGAAATAATGAAATTTCTCTGACGTATATGGTTATAATGATAATAAAAGCGGTTTACTCTATAGTTGTTGAAAGAAAACCTATGCCATTTGTATTTTGGAGGACATAAACTTGCAGCATGACCAATACTAAATTCTGGAGCAGATTCACATTCAGGTGGAATAGTTCCTGAAGTTGGCAAAACTGTCCAGTTAGCAATTTTCTTAGTAGAAGTTCCGTCCCTGTCAAGAATTATTCCTTCCCAGTCCCAAGCATAAATCGCTTTATTTGGGGCGTTGATGTATTTCATGTTTTCTAGATGATATGTAAACCCACCACAAAGAAAGGGACACCTCAAGGGAAGAATACGTGTCCATCGGAATGCCGCACATTCTTTTTGAGAGAAATTTACGAAGCTTACATTTTTAATCATTGCTCCCCTCCCTAGAGGTAAAATAATACCTCCCTGTGTGCATTTGTGATCTTTTTCTGGTAACACGGTTGTTTTCCCCACTATGAGAGAGTCTTGAATAAAAGATGAATTTTCATGGTACCTTGGAATATCTATTGGAACAGTATTAACTTCAATACCAGCAAGTCGATTTTGAATTAAGGTTAAATTGACAAACTTAACATCCTTTCCGATGTTACCAACAGCTACACCCTTTTTATTGTTCCAGGATGTAAAACTATGGAAGGTCGCTAGTGTGTCGTCTTCGTGATAATGTTGTTTTGGAAAATAATTTTCATAAATATAGAGCCCATATCCTCGAAGAGAGTGTGCCGAGTTGACCCGAAACGATCCAAGTGGAACGTGATCTTTATCATAATTCTTTTTATAGATTGCACCTTTTGAATGGTAATCCAGCTTATACCAATATCCATGATGTGTTCCTGCGGCTACAGCATTGTGTTGAACCGAATTATTTGGATTTGCCAACGAGAATGCTGCTGGAGTTAAATCGTCATTTGTTAAAGCTGTGCATCCAGTTACAAAAACAGCAAGGTTTTGTGAAAGAGAAATACCGGTTTCACTTCCATCTTCTAATACAAAACCCCCACCAAGGATGTCAAATATGACATTTCTCTCAATATGTATATTTTTTGAGCTTTGAATATTAACGGCTCTATTAAATGTGTTATGAATGCTGCATGCTCGTACAAAGCTTCCTGCCATATTACCGTTTTGAAGGAAATGAAGTGGATGTCGTCCTAATCTGAAAATCTGACCAGCAAATGTTATTTCTACAAATGATATATGAACTTTTGATGCTTGACAATCTCGAACAGGTGGATGGACAATAATTGCTACACCAAACTGACTGCTTCCATGCTCATACTCATTTTCATATATCATATTGCTGCATCTTTTGAATGAACTACGATCTGAAAATTAAAAGAATGACCAATGACGTCATTATTGGGTTATCTAATATAATTATTCTGAAAAAGACAAATTTAAAAGTCTAACGTTATTGAAAATAAAGTACCTGATTTATATTCAAAATCACAAGTTTGTATTTCGTCATGCCACTGCGTATCATCATTGCCTCTGATAATAATATTTCGTGTTAAAAGACCAACTTCAGCACTCATTCTGACTAATCGACCGTCGAATATTTCATGGACATTTGCATGTTCAGATTCTAATGGTTCTGTTAAAATAAGAGTCCTTCCATCGTTGATGACTGAATATATCTCCCTCTTTTCATTGTCATTGTTTGTCTTACTATCACCTGTGGATGCTATGACGATTTCATCTCCGACGTCCCACATTACAGGTGATTCTAAATGTATAATATCTGAACCCTTTGAAGCTGTAACTGATAAATAGGTCCATGTCGGAGAAACTGGTTTTCCTGAAAATGAAGTATGGAAACTTGCTTTTTCAGATTTTTTTGAGGAAATAACGAGAACGTTTGAAATAAAAGAATTACGGATGCTTATTCCAGTAGCTTTTGCGTTGTAATTTAATCAGAATGCCCTCAAGATTATGTTCAATACGTTTAATTAAGTGATAAAAGCACAACAGTTGTTTCAAGCAGGAGTATTACAGTAGGTCTTAGAAGGTCAGCAAGAACACTGTTTCTGATATTTTAAAAAAAAGGCCTCATTTTAGTGAAGCTTATCTTTAAGCAATATTGTACTGTACAACGTTAAATTAAATATTTCAAAATATTTAAAAACAACTTTCACATCGATACTGATACTGTTGAGATTCTTATTTTTGTATGCTTTTACGGTGCGTATATCTTCACATCTTTTATTAACATCATATTGTAGTATTCACGATATACCATGCATGTCTAATGTTCCATTTCGAACAGCTAAGACCTTTGCTCCATATACCGGCAGTTCTTTACTTCTGATATGACCATGTACTGTTATTATCCCTTTATGTTGAAAGGGTTTGGCTTCTGACCCTATCTGCAAACGTCCACCATCAGTTATCAGTATGCTATTTGCCTGTAACTCTATATCCTTCTCATCAAATACTAGATGTCCTCCTATATATTATGAATTAAATAATCAAATTTTAAAAATTAAAAAATTAAAAACGAAAAACGTGTCTTTTTTTATAACGACGTGCACATTTGTAATATATTACTCATGATTTTAATAAGGTACGTCGTTATTTTTTATTATTATTTTTTATCGGCTGTCAACATCAATTATTTTACAATGCATTACCTTGAATTAGTAGAAAACCTAAAATCGGTGTATTTGTATCTAATAATATAGTAGTGCCAGGTGGAATGACAACAAATTCTCCTTTTTCCGGTAATGGTCCACCACCCCATGTAAAAGGAGAAGACCAAACATCAATATACTGGAAATTTGCGTCACAATCTGAAGCCTATAATGTACAAAGTAGTATTTAGATTATCTTTCATTGTATATTAAATCATTACTTATCATTGGAATAAACAAATGAATGACAAGGAAACGTCATTGACTGTCTGTACACAAGGCAAACATTCTGGTCTACACCACTAGACAATTTGATTTTGATCATGTACATTCTCCGTGTACAAAATACTTTCAAAAGTAGTTCTTCCCCTTCTTCTTAGATTTCTAACTGCCCATATACATTATCATGTTTGATTGCTATAAATCAACAACATTATAAGTAAATATCTAGCACAAGTGTTCCCTTGGAAGCATTAAAAACAACAAAATTACATGAAAATTGCAGACTCGGTTTGATTGAGCAGGTCTGCAAGTTTGCATTTTTGGTTTACCTGCAGAATGATTCGCTATTTTAAATTCCAAATGATTTGATTCTTTTTTTTAACTCTTCGATTTTACTGAATCAGCAATGCTAGGGCGACCACGCATTTTCTTTGTCTTACATGCCATATTGTTTTAATTCGATTTTAATAAATTAACGTGCTTTAACGGATCTTAGTGAAGGACGTCGTAATACTTCACGTTAACTGAAAAGATTTTAAACATGTCGTGAATTATATCTGTCTGTCTGTGATTTTTTCATTCATCCAAGTAAAATTTGATGTTAATAATGACCGTTTTACACAAATGATTATCCTAAGATTTTTTTTAGATGGACTTGGACAGCATTGACAGAAAAAAGATGGATTTGTATAGGTTTGAATAAATCTATTTTTTATCATAAAGGTTTTTTTAAAAGAAAAAATGTTATAGGAAGTGTACCTCTTTGGCTATGCCATTTCCTGCCCTTTGTACTTCGACTTTAGTTATAACTGACCCAATATGCGGTCCTGTCTCGCAGTGTATTTCTCCATCAGATATATCTATGAGAAAACACGGAACTCCATCTATAATCACACTTGCGCTTTGAAGCTCATATCTAAATGACACAAAAACGCATGGTTTATTCTCTGATCAAATATTAAGTGTAAAAAACAAAATAGTTATTGTTCAAAATAAAATAAGTTAATCACATTGAGGAAGATTTAAATACATGGTTTATACTTACCCGAATCCTTTTCCTGTTATAGTGATTATAGTCCCACCACCAGTCCCACCTCTCTTTGGTGTCACATTTGAAATAGTAGGTGTGATAGATTCATTATAGTGGTAGGCGTTCGGTAACGTTCTGTTCAATCCATTCAACGAAACAGAAACGTTACAGACCTGGACTAAAAAAATAAAGATGAACGCACATTACGTGTGTATGGATTAAAAACATGAACATGCTTTTTTATTATATTGTTTTAAATTTTATCAAAATCACAACTTCTATTTTGCCACAAACAGCCACCATTTCCCCTTTCCATTTTAAAATCACGCTTACAAATGTATCAAAATACATAAGAGGGTAAAAATATTTGAATTCATAATTTAAAAGCAATGTTTAGTCGCTGTTACGTCGAAAGCGTCACCATGTGCCTTAAAAATGAATATTAGAAATTTAAAAAGCTGTAGTATAGTCTATAGAATATAATTGTATGTAACCGTTACTATGTTAAGAAATACTGCAGCATGCTGATCAAAACCACAAATATCCTCATGGTTTGTGTTTGTGCAAGGAATACTAAATTATAAACGTTTTATAAAGTGTTTTTATAATTACTTCAGAACGTTTATTGTAACGTTCATATGATATGTACTGCCAAATAGACATAGATCGATTGATATATTTCTTGGCGTTTACATAAACACAATTGTGTGGCAATTTAGTGAGGATATTCGTGGTGTTTTGAAACATGCTTGCTATAAGAATATTTATTTTCGCTTGATTTTATTTTTATCTGTCCCGAATATTACTTTCATATTTGTAGGACACTCAATCTAAGCAAACTGTGTATTTAATTAGACTTCATTTTGAGTTGCTTAAAGGGATACTGAAACCAACTAGTAATTTAGTTAGAATAGCGTTAGCTAAAACAAAAGTTTAGTTCAATTTCTACCTACCACTATTGTCAGGGGTCCGACATATATAAACCTGCGTTGTAGTGTTATGTAGCAAACAGGTCTTTCCACAAATTGTTGCAACCAATGAATTATCTATTCCTGTTCCTGTTAAAGTTATCAGTTGCCCACCAGCTATTCCACCTAGATTTTAAAAGGTATAAAAAAATCGTTTAAGAAAGAAAAACGCTTTGATTTATTTTAATGATATCAGAAAATTAAAAATAGTTTATAAGTACACGATTTAGTTATAAAAATATTGAAGATTACCTTGAGTTGGTGTAATTTCTAAAAGACTCAGCTGGTACTCAAATTGAATATCTGTGTTTGATACTCCAAAGTCAGCAACTAGTACAGATATGTTGACCTTTCCTGTTGGATGATTACCACTTAAACATTTGATTTCGTCAGTATCTACAGAAATGACTTCACATTTTGCTTTATTTAAGGATACACTGGTATATTGACCTTGTAAATTTGAACCTGAGATTGTTAAAGTGTCTCCTGAAAATCCCGATTTTGGGCTTACAGATGTTACCGTTGGTGATGATTCTTTTGTAAATCGGAAGGAGGAATAGTTAGCCGTTAATCCATTTGAAGACAAAGACACGTCTACTGAGCCGGCTTTATGAGGTTTGGTTAAGCATATTATATGTGACAAGTTTGATGACAGTAGTGTGCAATTAATGTCACCGAAAGAAATCGTTAAATTATTTCTTAGAAACCCGTTTCCAAAAATGGTAACAGTTGTGTTACCATATATGCTGCCGGATAGCGGATACAAATCGTTGACTATCAATGGTCCATGAACTTCCAACTTTCCCGATGCCTTACCATAATCTTTAACCCTAATTATTACACTATTATTACCAGCAGGAATATTATCAACTTTTGCTATGACGTATGTTTCGTTTGCTTCAATTATTTTCGCTGAAACATTGCCAAATGTGACATCAAGTTCCTCTGTGATATTACCTAACAATGAACCGGTTATAGTGAAAGGGTTTTTTGGCGAGAATACTTTTGGTTTAACGTCTAACATTACGGGAGTCAAAGAGGAATTATAGCTATATGTACATTCTTCAAACATTGTTTCGCATTCGGATTGTATTGAGGTATTTCCAATGTATACAAACACCAAAACGTCTTTCCTTTCTTCTGTGTTTGAAGGAGGGGTCTCACAAATTATCTCATTATAAGAATATTCGGTGATTTTGCAGTCGTATCCACCAATTGTAATAAATGGCGAACCATCAAATCCATATCCCTTTATTGTTAGGCGCGCCCCACCTGCTAATGATCCGCGAATAGGAGTGATAGATTTAATACTTGGTTTAATAGCAAAACCACTTTTTCCTAAATCTGAAATATTTATTTGAGCAAAACCTCTATTGTTTACTCTAGCGTGAAGTTGATGTAGCACATATATTTCTGGCCTTGAGTTACTGTCAATTTTACATGTCAATGAGTTTTCGTGTGCAGATGTAATGTTACATATAAAACTGCCAAACTTCACTTCGTTTTGACATTCTTTAGTAGAAAATCCATCTCCGCTGATTTTAATTTCTGTATCAAATGTACCATTATTCAAATTAATTGAATTTATGATTGGGGTACTGCATGACGAAAACGTGTAACTGACTTTTTTCGCTTGAGTCACTGGGATCTCTTCAAAACAGCCAGATCTTTGTGTAATAGTGTGTTTACAAACAGTGTCGTCTTCCATTTTAAGAACACCTGTCATATGATAAAGAAAACAGAATATTGCTACATTTAAAATCAAATACAAACAGAAGGCATTTTAAACTGTAATTATTTTATCTTGTTTGTCACTCAGACTAACGACGACTAATAAAAATATATTTTGCAACAACATCGCATTTACATATAATCTGACTCTTTCCTCGTGTCTTTGACGACAAAGAGCCCGCGTCAATATGGGCAAATGAAAAACAGGACTGCATTTGTGAAAAAATATTAGAAACAAAAGATTTTGTAATTTCTCTATAAAACTGAATTTTGCCGTTTTACATTATTGTTTCTACTGAATTTGGAGGTCCAGATCATAGTTTAGCATTTTAATTGAAAGAAAATCTACAGATGTGTCTCTGTTAAGAATCAAAGGACAAGGTATAACAGGTTCAAAAAGTACAAAATACTGACTTTATAAAACAAAAATTGTGTAAACTGCATAACATATGTGTAAACAAAGTTGAAATACAGTTACAGTCATTACTTTCTTAAACACTTCTGTTTAAATAAACCATTTTCTGTGTTTGAAAACATTTATGTATTAATTATATTCATGGTGTGAATATGATTGTCCTAATAATATCTGCTTAGATTTTGATAGATATCCGTGTAAGGCAAACAAGACTCTTGCTAGAGGTTATGACCTCAAATCATTTTATATAAATCCCTGAAAAGTAACTCCATTCTTGCTAGATCATAACCTTTAGACGAACTTCAAAATAATGAATCATATTTTGAAAATTGCATAACATGTCCACATGTTTAAACAAGAAAGCCATTTGCCAAAGAGCACTCACGTTAAGACAGACTATTATTTGTATCTAAAGTTAGTGTTTATTATAAGAAGTGAACGATGTCTTGTGGTCACAAGACCACATTTCATGCAAATTATATAGTCTTAAATTATACTATATACATTGGTTCTTATTTCTAAGCTGTACATCTGTAAAAAAACAAATGAGTCAATACTTTGGTCATTTGATATCAAAAAACGAAAATGTGAACACGGTCAAAATGTCATACCTATTTATAAAAGTCTATTGAAGTTAGATCACTTAATCAAAAACTGGGTAAGCTGATACCAAAGTATAATTTTACATCTACAATTGTGCACATTTGTTATTTTAGATAAAAAAAAATTAAGTTTTCACTATATACATATAAGGAAATGCTATATCCCTCGGGGCAGAGTTTTGACAAAAGAAGCAAAAATGTGAATGAAGTTTATAGACGTTCACTAGACAATGTTTCATGCCAAATATCTCAGCTTTAGCCTATGTTATCTCAGACAAGTAATATTTAAGCTTTTACTATTAACCTATAAGGAAAACCTATGACACCCTTCAGAAAAGAATAATTTTGACCCCCAGAACGATTTTCATCTCAGGGTTATAATATAAACCTATAATAGGGTTTGTCAATTGAGAAAAAAAGGTTTTTGTCAGTTTTTACTTTACATAAAAGGAAAACCTGTGACCTTCTAGGTACAAAAAACGTTCAATGACTACTATAACTTTTTTTCGTACTCTGAATTGCTGCTTCAATTTTTTTTTTCATATGTAAATTAATGTCGATTTACATTGTAACATAATTTGTTAAGCTGAATTGCATTTTAAAGGTAAAAATAATAAACTCAGCAAATAAAGTTTAATCAAGTCAATATTTTGATAGGAAGTATATAAGTGAGACAAACATTAAATCGTCTCTTAAAAGCTAAGTTGACAATACCTAAAGACACTTATAGTCCGGAAAAAGGCGTAGTATAGCTTAAAAAATGTAGTTTGAAATACTTTCTTCCGAAAAACAATTACAAAACACAAAACCATTTAATCGTTAGTGGTTATATACACATTTCACAAATCTGCATAGCACAAGTATACGCAAAGTGTAAGCGGTATATCAATTTGAAGCATCAATCACTTTTTTGACATAAATAACTGAGCATAACGGATATTATTTGTTGTGTTTTTTTTGTATGTTTATTTATTGTTTGTATATTTTCATTCACATCAGTTTATGCGGTCTATAACGTAATTAGTGATCTCGCTGTTAAAAGAACTTAAATGTCGAAGACACTAAAGGAGAACGTTCGGTTCCGAGACTCCTCTAGCTTTATTCAAACTATAGAAGTAAACGATTTCAGAAAGTTCTTCCTTATAAATTTTAAAGAAGTTAAACTTAGTTTAGACGATCTTCGATCGGAACATTTAACTAATGGTGTGCATATATGAGTACATTTCGTTCAAATCTGCTTAACTGTTACGCCAGCGCAATATTTTCATACTAACCTCCAATGTCATGAGTAGCTTCTGCTTCACCAACTCGAACACTCAATGATGACGTTGTTGAACGTTTGTCGAGAACTTCAATTGTACCAACGTAATTTTTGATAAACCATATATCTACAAATCCGCTCCAAACATAATATCTGCCCTTCTTCAAAAACTGGTGCCTGAATATACCTAAATTTAAAGATTTATTCCATAGTTTTAAGGGCATAGATGTACGTTTGTGTCTATTCAATGGATAATGTCAAAGGTATCATAGATAACGAGTTCTTTGACTGTATTGCATGTCATAAGGAATGATATTTTGTCACAATTTTATTTATAAGTTCGTTCATACATCATATAAAGTATTATATTGATACTTATTATCTACCATTTCTTGTAGGTACCCCACTGCTAAAACCGTCCTTCTTTTGAGTCACAGAGCTTGGATTTTCTATTTCAATAATTGAATGTGTTACATTGTTCACAAATGCAGGTGTTTCCCATGACCATTGCACGTAGTCTCCAACAGTTATATTGATATGAGGCTTATCGAATGCATAAAACGCGCCAAATGCTGAAGATGAAAAAGATTGAAAAGCAACCTAGCAAATAATTCTACCATCAAACTTATGTTTCGACAGTCGTTATATACTTTTGTTACTGTAACTTTTTACGCTCCTCTTTTGAAAGAAATATTGTTAAAATCATCATTGTCAATATAGTTTACATTTTAATAGTGACACCTACCAAATTCTATATTTATCGTCATATCGGCAAATCCAAAAAAACATATATTGAAATATTTCTATGTTTATGTTATACTTTGTTTAATTGTCATTGTGTTTCCATTTTGCATTTAATTCATTTTAACAGTCATTATAAATATCATAATAAGTGACTGATCCTTGCAATATAAAACATTATCTATTATGTCAATAAATTATGATATCTGACTCAAATATTCAAAAAAATATATGTTTAAGTTCAAAATCATGAAAAAGGTCTCGAGCCCTGCTTCAATTTTCATACTTGTAAACGATTTTATTGATATCAATTTTCTTAACTCCCTTCTCTAGATAAATAAAAGCAACATATTTACCTGGGTCTACTCCTTTGTTTGTAACAAAGTGAGTTATGCCGGTGAATTCTAACTGACAAACGATTTCAAAATTTGTTACATTGATAGCGTGACATTTAGTTGTTTCGATTGTAACGTTAACGTTTGAAATATTATTTCCAAATCCTGAGCCTGCGATAGTAAGTACAGTTCCACCAAATAATGAGCCCTGCAGCGGATAGACTTGTGTAACTTTCAGATCTACATAAATCCTTGGGAGTTGAAAACTTGTTCTAAAAAATGGACAAAATAGTTAATCGTTAGTCTATTACAAAACAATGATGATAATTATGCACAAGTAATGAGATAAGATGTTCACGGTTACTAAATTAAATCCATATACAAAGTTAATAAAAACAGATCCATACCCATTTATTGCGAATCCATACTGTGCACCTATTTTTATCACATTCCATCCTTTATCAATTTCCCCGATGATCAGTTCAATGCGGGTGTCAGACCAAAATGATACACTTGCCAATTCCGATCCAACCACAACAAAATTTTGTTCATTTGTAAAGGATTCTCCTAGGATTGTTAGTTTTCCACCTGTTGATGTTACGTCAATGCTTTAATAATTATTTGCCTGATACGTTCCACGATATTTTTTGTTGTTGTTGCTATCAATTCTTTAAAAAATATACTGTAAATTAAAATTAACAACGAAAGAACGTTTGACAGATACGGTTTAACTTATAAAATGTATTAGATATGAACCCTTTGTTAACAATTACAAGAAAATAATTGTCAAAAAAATCGACAGTAAACTACTCGTTTTACCTGTAACATTTACTGTAGCGGGTGCAATACTGCTCACAATAGCTGTTTTTGACAGTTTGTATTCATATTCATAAATTGGTGTCACCTTTATCCCTGAACCATGAGTCACGTGAACATCAAATATACCACTTACATTCTGCAAAAGCACACTTATTCATCATGAAAAAGAGAAGCAATTATTAAATTTCATTTAATCTGGTCACCCTTAATCCTCCAGACATTTTTCCATTACAGTTTATACATGCATTTTATATTTACAGATATTGATACATTGAAGTATATATATCACTGTGATCTATCTTAATTATTTGTACCACAAACGTTAACAATGTCATTTTCAAACATATAAATGTTTTTTTAATGGACTACGATAGTCATAATGGTAAACAAAAGGAAGCGGTATAGATTCAGATAAGTCGTTACTGATTGCGGCGTTTACAATGTTAAACAGAAAAAAAAACGATAAAATTTATTGAGTTATCATTTAAACTGATCATATTCAGTATACACATGTTAGTCCTTTAAAATAAGATAAGTAATCATTCCTTACAGATGGCGGAATAATGCAGATGATCTTAGTAAAGGTCACACTTGTCACGATACAATCTTTTCCATTTATTAAAATGGTAACATTTTTGTTGAAACCATACCCTGTTATCGTTAGATTCAGTCCACCTATACGAAACGAAAGGAACATATTTTCAATCATTTAAAACAATTTAATAACGGTTTTTCAATTCAATCTAGACATAAATGTTAATGTGGTTTTAAATCAATTAAGTTGCGTTTTAAAATGAAAATCTGAAATATTTGATTAATCTTACACTAATCGAATATTTTAATACTGTACAGTTCTTAAAATGGATTGATATGAAGGATATTGTAAAGGAAGAAAGTTACAACTTTTTAGTAATACCTTGCAACATATAGTTATACAATAAGATTTATAATTTAAGGCCAAAATGACACATGAGATCAACAAGTAAATCTAGAAACGGTTTGACCTTTTCTATATCATTGCGTGAAACTCGACTAAAATATTAATTTTAGCAAGAGCAGGATTATTTTGAAATAAATGCCACCTTGCTTCTCGGCATTTTTATATAATTTGAGATTGTATGGGAGCACATGCAAAATGGCGTAAACAGTTGTCAGTGATTCTCAAGATGGTTGCTGCCAGTGAATGAACAATAGTCACTTGCTTTACATGACATAATCAGTCAAAATCAATTAAGTTTAACATTTTGAAGATCAATAAAACAATATATTTTATAAAGATTTTGTGCAAAAGCAAGTGGCCTGCTGAAATCCTTCAAATGACTTTTCAATAAATTCGCCGTTAAAAGGTAATTAAATTAACTTTGATAACATTTTGATGTCCATGCTGCCGCCGCCGCTATTTTTGTTGTTGCTGCTGTGTTTGTTGGAAACAATGTAAATATTTGTATTCAAGGTGAATAAAGATAAAGATATATTTCAAACATCATTGTTTGTACTTAAAAAAGGAATACGTCCGCAATGCTTGTATGAAGTGAATGTAGCATTAACTTGCATTGGATATTATTGGCGTATGCACAAAATCATTATAAAAGGGATAGAAATCTTCTTAAATAGCATTGTAATATTTTGTTCCAGCAATTTTTTCCTGTTAACGTACAATATCAATGAGTGTTAAAAACATCCTTTCCGGTTTTTATTTGAGAATCGACCATAAGATTATGGAACCAAATTAGTTTTATAGGTGATAGATTTTATGAAAAAATATAAGATATATTTCATAGCCCACAACATTATGCATAAATAGGGACTTTACCCATTTACCTCTAAAAATGATAGTTTATGTATTCAAATTATCACTGTTAAATCCTGTTTTAGACTCATGTTAATGACTTACCTCCTATGCTGCCAGAAGTTGGACTTATTTCAGTTATTTCTGATATATATGTAAAATGAACGTTTCCTATAGCCCGACCTTTGCCAGCGATATTGACAAGGATAGGATAGGAGCCTAAGGGGCCGGCACCTACATTACAAGAGATACTGTCTATTCGAACTGTTGTCACTTTACATTCCACACCACCAATACTAACATAAGCATGGGTAACGTTTGTGCTCAAACCTGAACCGGATATATCAATAGATGTTGCTTTAGCCTCAGATCCTAAATTAAAAATATGAAAACCCAAAATGTGTTGATATGAAATATAAAAAAACATGCATGCATGATTGTAACTAAACTATAATTTTGGAAAGTATTTTTTCACAATTTAAGAAAAGTGTCATTATGAAATACAGCAAGTTCTATGTATTAAATGGGTAAGAACACACTTAAATAAAGAGTTATTTCTTCGTTATAAATTGCAATTAGTACCAGATCGTGGGTTCACTTCAGTTATGACCGGGGTTATTGTTTGAATCCATTGAAAAGAGCAGTTGCCTGTACATGAAGTTGGGACATCATTGATAAATAGTCTAACTTGCGGTAGTTGATGTACTGTAGAAACCATGTCACCCATGAGTGGATTGTAGTTGAGTCCACCATACAAATCTGTTATAATGCTTCCAGATACTTGTAGGCCCTTTAACTGGCTAAAATTTGCCTGCGATATAAATAATTAATAACATTTATATACAGACACACGAAATGCGACTGTTTGTTTCATGATATACTAATTAATAACCAATTGAACATAAGTTTGCTCGTTTGGAACTGTTGGTATTCGAATATATATTAGAATAACAATGTATGGAAAAGTTAAATAAATCTACATTATCAATACAGAATAATTTTGAAAGTAGGTAACAAAAAGTTATACGAACCCTCATTTGTGGAAGATTTCCTGGCAGTGTAATAAACCTCGTAATAACATGAAAGTTTGCACAGTCTCCGATCTTAGATACTTCTAACGAACCGATTCCTTCAATTGATTCCAGTTCTTTTTTAAATTCAACAGCAGTGAGCGACACATTTATTCCTTAAAAAATAACACAATTGAAATAAAAATGCATACTTTTAATTCGTAATTGCAAAAAAAGCATTTAATAATCCATTCGAACGATTGATTAACGGCACAGTTTTTTTTTTCTTTCAATAGTATCGTGCTCAACATATGCCGTCTGCAGTTCAAAAGTAAATGTTCGTCTTTTGTAAATGGATTATGTAAAATTACTCGCAAAAGAGACACGTGTCCTTCTAGTGTAATAAGCGCATGAAAAAGCTTATACTATAAAAAATATTAAATGAAATATAAGCATAGTTCTTGAAAAGCATAGTTCCGGAACATTTATGTATTTCTTCTTACCTACTGTATGCATGTGTGTTAAATATCAGAGAAATCTTTTGTTTCGTACTAGTAAGGATTTTCTTATACTATTAGTCATTGAAGTGATTTAAATAATCATTTACTACAGTAGCATTACCTTTTTTCTCTTTGCCGTTAAATGTTACGTCAAAAAGTCCTGTAACTGGCGGCGAAGCTGCCAAAACTCTTGCCGCGGAAAATAGTCCATCCATTGTTTTAAATTGTGATTGAGTTGACACTGTCGGAGAGGGGATAGATTCTGAGTTCATTGATGACACTGTTGAAGATTCACTGGATGTTGTTGATGAAACTGAAGCAGCAGTAGAACTTCTCGGAGAAGAATTTATGCTGCTCACTGTTGTTGTGGAGAACATGACTGTTGTGTCGGTTGGTGATTTCTTATTCTGAAATACAATCATACTTCTTCAATCATTCTTATATTTTTCTTTTTGTGTTTGTGTGTTAATTGAAATTACTACGTATATATTTACAAATATAATTACTATTCGGTTGAATATAATTTAGATTTAACATACATGTAGGCATTATTCATAATGGAAAAACAGAAACATACACACAAGCACTTATTAAAAACGTTTAGCTAAAATAACAGAAGGGTTGAATGCAACAGTTTTTCACAGTTACTGCAAGTTCAAGTCACACATTTTATGTGTCCATTGTTGCATTTTAGGTTTATCAGAGCTTCATATGTCTTATCAATTAATCTACATATTCTTAGTTTCAAATATTTGACTGCAATACTAAAAAACCGTTCAACAAGGCGAATGATGTAGGTTTCATTAATAATTGGTCGCAAGGTAACAACGTAAAAATTCAGCTTTGAATATCAAGGACGCATTCTCTGGTATTTCAAATTTTTCCAAAACGGCGGACATTTTCAAGCAGCTTAGTAGAAAAATTCAATCTCAAAAGCATTTCATTACATCAGAGAAAACATTAACTCTATTTTCATGCTTTTTACTTACGACATTTGCTAGTTCAAATAGAGGAAATCCGTGCCCGCACTCAAGTGGTTTTATTATAACTCGATATGATCCATTTGTTAATACATATACGCGTACATTATCAATTAATGCTTGTCGAGAATATGCTGGTCGTTTTCGTTGTAGATGAGCGTCTGTAATGACAAATACCTTTATACATTACAATGTTGTATGCATCGACAGAACTATCAAAAGCCTGTCATCAGAATGTCCCATATAGCGAGGCTTTATTTTATATTAACCTAGGACAGATCAGAAAAAACAAATATCATTTACCAAGTGTTAATAAGAATGATGCAATATTGAATGAACATTAATACAAAATGCAGAATTATGATTACGTTGCTGGTATTTCACTTTCAACGGCTCAATAATTCATTTTTAATGTTTAGTATGAATTAATTGTATTCATGAAATATTCAATATTCGATATTTAGACTGAAGGTATTAGCACCCTAATGCATTACGTCCGCTTTGAAGAGTATTCAAATAGGCTAGAATTACTGTTAACTACTTTGAAAATGAGGGCCATGGGTTCAATCCCCTAAAGGGTCAACTTTCTTTTCTTTCTTTTTTTCTTTTAACATTATCTATGTATCTCTCATGTCCCATATGGAAAGAAAAATGTGTTTAATTTTGAATTTTTAATTTATATAGGCATTTATTGGCTAAATTATGTAGTATTATCTAGTAAAAAATATGGTACCTGATATTTTCAAAGTGTATTATTATCAAAACTAGACGGTAAAAGTATTTCATATTTTACAAGATCAACCAATATACTTTTTTAAAAATTTAGGGAAACTTTGAAAACAGGCACGCAATTGGGTAAATTTTAAGAATTTTTAATTAGGGAGTCCCTAAGTAGAAAAATGGTCAAACATGTGGTAAAAATGGTTTGGGTAGGGTAACATTTTAATACAGATTTCATAAACTTTGAGTAGAAACCATAATTTTGCTTATGTGGATTGTTAGCTGAATGGTACTATTTGTTTCTTAACAAAAATACATGGGAAAACATTTTTCATTAGAATATTATTGCAGATCATTTAAAGGTTCCTCATTTCTAAAAAAGGGCCCTCATAACATCCTAGTTTGAGTTCAGAAAAGTGGCCATAACTTGATTTCCGTACGGTAAACTTTGTTTAAATTTTGCATACAAGTGTACTTTAAGGTTTACATCCGACCTATGATGTCAATTCTTTAGTTCCTGATAGTGCCCTTTAGGGTCCTAATACCTTAACATACTATGAAGTAGATATAAGCCGAAAACTGTCTAATATGTAATATGTTTAATGATCATGAATCGCGTAGCGCCAATGGAAATTCATTTTTTTATTTATTTTTTTAATCATTTTGAGGATTATATCCTACCTAAATTACTACTTTTACTATCAAATATCATGTTATCCATCTAAAAATTAGAAATGAAATGTAATTCTTGTGCTAGAATTGTGAAATTTTAATGTTTCAGCGATAATTTTACTAACTTACAAATACCCCATAGGTTGCCCCTTGAATGATCTCATCCGATGCATGAATCTTTTTTTGTGTTGCAATATGATGAATGATATACGTGGACACAACAATATAACACAATTACCCAATAACACAAAATTAATACGCATCCAGTATACATCAATTTCCTTTGGGGATTTTTACCAAATTGAGTTTCAAACCTTTTCAAATTTGTGATTAGTCTCAGATGTTTTAAATGATTTAAATGTTTTAAAGAAATTAAATTCAGAATTCTTAGTTTGTATTACGAACAATGGTATACCTTGATAAATAATTCACCTCGTCTTGATACATACAGTTTATTTAAACATACTTTTGATTTAGAAAAATACTTAAGTGTAATTAAAGAACCAAAGTATAGAATAGCCTTATCTAGATTCAGAACATCGTCACACAATTTAGCTATAGAATATGGAAGATATCGTAATATTCCAAGAAATGAACGTTTTTGTGAAAATTGTCAATTTATTCAAATAGAGAATGAATATCATTTTTTACTTATTTGCCCGAAGTTCTCCGATTTGAGAAAAAAAGTATCTTAAACGGTATTACTACACATGGCCGACTTAGCAAAAGTTTATCAATTTAATGTCTGAATCATCGTTAACTGTAATTAATGGTTTAAGCAAATTTATATATCATGCTAACACTTTAAGAAATTAATCCTATCAAATGTGATCTGTATTTTATTCATATGATTGTAAGGCTCTTCTGAAAAAATCCATGTACTTGTGTTGTTTGTGTTTATATATTTTGTACTTGCTATAAACATGTATTTGTTTAATGCAATAAAATTTTGAAGTTTTGAAGTTTTGATTCACTAAGACGATTGATGTATGTCTTTTAATGACTTTGTGTGTGTTCAAATGATCAAAGAAGTGTATATTTTTGATGATACGCAATAAAATGAAATTTGAGCCGCGTCACGACAAAACTAACGTAGTCTTATCAGGATCCATGCTGTTAGCTATCAGTTTCTCTACTTGTTATAAGGTTGGTAAGAAAACAGCATGAATCCTGATCAGACTGCGCGGATGCGCGGATGCGCAAGCTGGTCTGGATCCATGCTGGTCACAAACGCACTATGTGGGATTTGTCGTGACGCGGCTCATTTGATGTTTGTCATACCACAGGGGTCTAAATACAAGTATAATGTAATTAAATATAACCGCCATTCAAACTTTTTTTAAGACAAAGTAAAAACGGTTTCATTAATATTTACCATTACATTCATATCAGTACTTGAAGTCAATGCCTATTTTTAGTAAGTAAGCATATACATAAACCTCATGAAAGAAATATGTTCTAAATTTCAAAACAAAATTACCTGGGTCATTTGTTGTCGGTTTCGATGCAAGACTTACAGAGTCAATATATGCGTCTACTACGCCATTGAGGCGATAAACATAAAGATCATGAAGACGGTAATCTGTGTAACCAGGTTGGTCCGTTCTTACCATGTCGAACATGTTGATACAAGTGTAATGCCACGTCTGTGACCTGTAACACATCATATAAGACCTTAGCTACGATAGATAGGCATTACATAACTTACAATCAAATATCACAAAAAGAGATATGTGTTTCAATGTGATGAAGACTTAATATGAGGGATGATCCAGAAATTCCCGGAATTTAGGCATACATTTTTAAAACAATGTATTCATACGCAGTCTGAACGTTGTCACAACTTCATAAGCGTTGACATCAAGAACATACTAAAAGTTTTCAAATTATTTGTTGCTGTACGCAAACTAGATCGATGCTCTATAACCAATTAGGAAAATAAGTAATAGAAAGAGCACCGAAACACGAGGCTATCTGATTGTACGAGGGGGCGTAGCCTCCGAGTATTAATCAGATTGCAGAGTGTTTTGGTGTTCTTTCTCTTTTGTATCATAGTCAAACATAAAAACACGTTCCCTGTTGTCACAATATGAAACCCCGGCAAAAATGAACCAATGAACAAACATCTGAATATGACATTTCTGTCGCTTGCCTTTTCTCTGCCGTCAAAATATGTAAACCCCAGCAAAAATGGGCCAATCAATGGGCATGCTCTGGAGTGCGGGTAACTAATACCCGCACTCCAGTTAACGCACTGTGCATGTATATGTATACGATTTAACCCTGACACATTTTCAACAGAAAGGTCTCCAAACTATGATACAATTATGTTCTTATACAACGGATTGATCCTTATTATGGCCTTTCATTTGAATAACGACCGATTATACCACAAGCATTGACATGCGCCTTTTTTTGTTAACAAATATATTTTGTAAATGTTATTGCAATCCACTTATCTTATAATTTCAATTTAAAACATCATAGTCATGTAGGGATCTATGTATAAGGTGTCCTATTGTCGAAAAATCGCGAATGCCATACACCGTAAGTGTGCTAACAAGTTGAAGGCCAAACATATTTACATTTCTATATTTCTTTATATAATTTTATCTCATTAGAATGTGTGTGATAAAATTAGAAATTAAAAAAACAAATAAGATGTAAGAAAATAAGAAAAATGTTTCAGTTTTTGTTTACCGTCGATTATTATTCCTAGACTAGATTGGAAAATCAAATTAATCCAAAGGCTTTGAATTTACTTAATTTCAAAAAAAAAAACGTTTTGGATAAATAATATAAATACTTGAAACTTATATGTGATACATGCAATTCATCAATTGAAAGCCATATTAAAATCGCATTAAAATATGGCGACACACTACAGTATATTTCTTTTTTCTTTCAATTGCCACAGCGACGGAGTACGTTGCCGCCTTGCGCATTTTTCATCCTGTCAACTATATATATTATCTTTAAAATAAGTCCAACGTCTGAGAAACGTCGAAACTTCTAAAACCCTTTTGTTTGACAAACAAGATACTTGTGTCGTGTTTCTTTTCTCATTAAGATGCAATTAAAGGATGCTACACGGACTGTCGACTAATGATTATGGAATTATGAAAGTGCTGCTTTCTTGACGCTTTAATGACGACGTTTTTTGAAAAATAAACATTGCAACTACAAACCTGAAAACTTTATAATTATTGTATAAAAATCAAATGTTCAAATGGCATGAAATTTAGGCATGAACTTTTTCAGGTTTTATACTAACTACGTCAAATTTTGGTCAAGATCCATATTTGTAACAAGCCTTTTTGGTGTATTATAAATGTCAGCGAACTTCGCGTTCTTTTATGTGAGCGTTTCAGTGGTTATTTGATTTACCTGTTTTGTTTGTTTGATTGTTTGTTTTATTTTGCGCCTTTTTCCAACAGTATGTCAGTCATATAGGCGGGTAGTCTCCTAACCATCGTTCCTCGAGAGGTACACCAGTAGCAGACTACCTTCATCTGTGCTAAACTACAAAAGCCTCTCCCGGGGATCGAACCCATGCCAGAGACGTAACTTGCTTAAAAGTCATTGACTTTAACCCTTCGACCACAGAGGCGGTACTCTTTTTACCGGGTGTTTTAAATCAAACATATTTTGCAATTGAATAGGTGAAACATCAATTTTTGCGCAGGTGTAAATTTTATGAAGTAAACATGACATTTGTCAGAATTGTAAACAAAGTCCGGGGAATTATGGATCTTCCTACGGTATATATGTGGTTGCCGAAGAAAGATCACAAGAATGCTTTCATTGTTAGTCATCATTCATTATAGCTTATTTTTTCTTAATCTATAACAACATCATTAATGATGATCATACTTACACTTTGTCCGAATCCGTCTTAAAATGATAAAAGAAATCTTGATGACGAAAACTACTACGACCCTTGAACGAGTAGTACACCCCTACTTTATTTTGTAGGAAGCCTTTATATGCAAAACACACCTGAAAAAACATAGGTAAGAATATGTATTTCATGATTATCAGGCCTTCATTGTGTCAGAATAGAACTATGTCTTAAGTACAGCGTGATGCATATTGTACAAAAAGATTTACACAATATGATATATAAAGTAAAATTAGCTGAAGGAAATTCAGAATTTTTTTTATAAAATATAACAATTCAAGGTATTTTTTCAATTCTCAATGCTTACACGTATTTCTTTTCTTTACTTCTGTACAGACTTATGCATTTTGAATGAATAATTGAGGTGATTATACCAACAATTAGCTTTGGTCTAGTTTATGATATTCAGTGAATACTTATTCTTTAAATAAAATCCACATCACTCATGGTGTGTCTGTTACACAGTTAATGATGTAGCTTAATCAATTTCTGTCTGCAGTTATTTTTACTTATAAGACATAAAAATAGAATAATAAAATACGTTTTTCGTCATAACGCGGTTTTCTCATTTACCCCATATGTACACATATATTCTTCTAACATACAGCTAACAGTGATCAGTTCTAGTAAGATCGACGAAAGCAAAATTCAAGAAAAGGATCAAAATTCAACTATAATACATTTTTCATTAAATGAAAATTATAAATGATTTAAATAAAGATATATACTCAATGTAACTGGCATAAAGCCATACCTTAACGACGTCTCATAACGAAGAAAAAAGAAAAATCGAAACATTTCTTTTATTGCTGATCGGTACACAATGTATTACATAATTAATATTACCATTCCATATCGTATTAGTTGGGTTCCATGACGATCACTATATATCAGGCTTGGATTTATAAGTGCATATCGTCCACAAAATGCTTCTGTACTTCGAACCCTATGCCATCTGAAATCACTATAAGAGTAGCTTCTTTCTTCAAAACTATCATAATTGAAAGAGCTCTTGCCGTCAAGATTCCCTGGACATTTTGACTCAAACATATCATTTAAAACTGGCTCCAACTGAAGTGAAGAATATTATATATATTTAGAAGTGTGAAGAAAAACGTTGCGATATAATATGCTGCTTCCTTTAATATATATTGAATTGAATGCATGTGCAACTGAAGAATCGTAATATTCAGAGGTTATTCTATGATTTTGAGAAGAAAGAGGAATTCCATTTAACGAGTACAGTTAAGTACCCGTTCAATGGAATCTGTATATTATTCAACAATGTATCGTAAAATATCTATTTCATACCCTTAGTTACTAAGGAAAAGCACATAAAATTGTTATGAATTCTGAAAATGAAAACATGGATAAATTGAATACATTTGTTCCGAAAAAATGATTCGTATTGGACAGTCAAGTGTAGCAAATGCTTGAAATTCCTTGGTAACATTTTAATAGGTGTAAAATAAATGTTGAATCTCAAAACATCAAGGACGAATCTAATAATATGCATCGTGCACAAGCAAAATGAAACATCATATTATATCATTTAACAGGCATTTTTTTATTTCGAATGCATCTCCTCTTAAACGTACGGTGATATTTCCTGCATTCAGTAATTGCAGTGAAAATGGTTTTGAAACAGTTCCTTCAAGCATTAGAACAACTGTGTCTAAATCTGGAACTCCTGATTGGACTTTTGTCACCTTGTGAGGGATTAGGTTATTGTCTCCGACTTGAATTACGTCAATAAGTGGAAGAAATCCTGCAAAACATATATTCATTGTGACTCAAATACATGTAGAATACGTATAGATAATAAGTGATTGAATGACAAGCATTTGGAAATGATGTGTTTGGTTTTCATTAAACAATATGATAACAAATTCGGTTCAAATTCATGGTTGTTTCTTTCCTAATGAGTATTATTCAGTCACCTCAACGATTGCAAAAGATCTCTCAGAGAAACAAATTCATAGCCAAATCCGTAATCGAATCTTTATAAACTTATTTGCACCAACGAAATTTCGCTATTCTTTGAAAACTCCATCTTATTTATAAATATTAAACAAGTTATATAAAGCAAAACTAGCACTTACCTCTTGTAGTGATGAACGTGATTTCATAAGTAAAAGTTGGTATTGATAAAGCTGGACTATAACTTCTCTTAACTGAAACCGATTCGTGCGGTCCCCATATTGGCAAAGCCAACAGTGAATCTTGGATTTCTTTTTCAGTAAATGATATAGACAATGGTTCTACAAAGAAAAGTATCTTTTGATGAATATGTAAGCGTTTGTAAAATAAATTTGTTTGTTTCTTTTTTGTACTGAATTTGTGAAAACATTTTGTTTTACCCGGCAAATATAAAAGATTATTATCAAAACATGTACTTCACGCTGAAATTTTACTAGTCTATGACTTTGTCTCAAAAGCATTCGATTACAATGATAGTTTTTAATCAATGGACATTAAATTTGAAGTATTATGCGGTACGTTTCTTTTGACAATAAACAACATCAGTATTTGATTAATTATATGTCTACCTGTAAATACACCATACAATCCAAACCTGAACAAATCATGCGACACTGAATCTATTGTAACCGTTTGAACCTCAAAAACATGATTCTGCTTTAATTCTCTTATGAAAACGAGATCCTGCAAATCAGATTTTATTATTCTATTAAGAAAAATGAAATGAAAATAGGATTTTTATTATTATATTAATATATTAACATATTTCAATTAAAAGTAAAATGACATTGTTTCAGTTAACGGAACTATCTAAGAAATACAGACTATCGTTAATTCATTCAATACTCTTCTGTTTGAATTAACAAAGTAGTATCATAACTCAATCGCTTTCAAATAACAGTTAAAACAATGTCATATTAGTCTTTAGTATAAATAACACAAACAAACACACCGATTAAAAAAGGCAATTATTAGTGTTCGCCAAAATGAAAATATGCAAATTACAGCGACGCGTCATAACGCTTTTATAAAAAGACAATCAATTATAAAATTATATTATTACTCGCTTTAAAGTTAAAATATTTCTATTGAAAAATTCTTTTAAAAGGATTTACAAATATATCACTGTTATTGAAAAGTAATATAATTTTCATACCTGAACCTCATTTAGGACAGTAGACGTTATCTTTATTCTCTGCTGTTCTTGGTCCGCTTTTTTAACCATAGTGTTTGTAAATGTCGTATTATAATATTTTGCTTTTGTATTCATGTAAACACTTCCTTCAGTCGAATGGTAAATCAATTGAAATAGATATCTGTAAAATGTTATTTGGTATTTGTTTAGTAATAGCAACAAAATTTGGAATTATTCAATTAAAATAGTATAACATTGGCTTGGGGCACATCGAGAATGGATTCTGTACTAAAATATGTCTAGGCCGTCTGGCCGCGTGACTGTTTTGCAGATGTCGTCCTAGCCAGTGTTATAACCCCGTTATTAACCGGTGTCATCGATTAGAACTATTCTATTGCAATTTCACTATTTTTGTCACAGAAATAAGCAAAAAAAATTCGTATATGTTCAGTATTTTCCTCCTCGTGTGCCCTTTCCTGATTGTTTTAAATGTAAAGCAAATTCCTACTAATGCTGACGAAAGCTACCTTTTAGCTATATATGATAATAAGTCAATTAGGTGAATGTAAATGCCTTTAACTTTTGTAAGAGGTAATAACTCTTTCAGTTGACGTATCCTTCAATTGTAGGTCTTGTGAATATACTACTTAATGAGTAACGTTTTGTACATTTTACAGTAGGCCTATGACATAAGTGTGGGAACAAATTGCATCTCTTTAATCTATGTTTTGCTACTTGTATTATGTGTTTCCCTTGCTCTATTCCAACCTCTTTAAAAAAAAAAATGATAAATACTCGATGCAAAAAGAAAATCAACTCTTATGTATCAATTTATTTATTTTCATTTTAATTCAAAGGAAATAAACAGCCCTGTTATATATCAATACAGTTTGAAATTTCCATTGAAAGTTTACAATATACAATGACTTAGAACAAACAAAGACACAATTCAAAATCATGCGATAAATACATATATAATTATCATGTGCTATATTTAATACAGATTCGTCAGATAATTATAAATTTACTGAAACGTGTTAAAACCAAAGATAAAACCTTTACGCTACCGATAAATAATATTTTCACATCAGCCGAAATTTACTCGATTCAAGATTACTCAAATGTTAAAACAATATAGGATAAAGTTCGACTTATTTCAAATAATCAGTTTTATTCATAAATTCATATCAATCAAATATTGAGATATGTTATTGAAATAAAATGTTTTCGTACTCTTACTGTAAAACATGTTTCACTGCAATTAAACATATTTGTATATTTTCACTGTTGACTTACCGGACATTTCTTCTTCATGCAGCCAATACACAAAATAAAAGGAGAAGTTTTCCGAATTATATGGTCAAAATATATATTATCAAATTTCGTATCAAACATTGAAAATAAGTCCCGTATTAATAGAAAAACTTTAATATCCCCTATGTATTTGTTAAAGTTTGTTTTGGACTATCAGAGGTCTCGAATAACGTCTGTCCCACGAACGGCTGGTGTCCCTGTCGTAGTAATCACTATAATACTTGCTATACTTCTCACTGGCAATCTTTGTATCAAAAGTTTTAACTATAGAGAAAAAATAATTACTGACGAATGAAAATATTTGTGTAATTTATGTATCTTTGAATAAACTTACTTTACTTCGTTATGTAGAATGACATCCATCGTTCTTGAATGTCCGTATCGGAAAGAAGATGACATTTTCTCAACCTTAAATTTGTTTAAAAAATAAATCAATAATTGATAAAATGTAATATGTTGTTAAACATATTATATGTTGTTCACATACGGCATGATCTGACCTGCACAAACCGGCCAATACACTGTTAAAGTAATGGAAATTTAAAATTTCGCTACTTACGCCATCCATATATAGTTTGGCTGCTCCTCCTCCTCTCATATACATTTCTACGGTGATCCGGTAATGCCCAGTGTGAGGTGGCTTGAAATAAAATGTGAATTTACCAGCATGCCGACCTCTTGTACCATTTACATCATCGAAATCAAGATTGGCTGCGTCAAGCCGTTGAAAATTATAACCCGGGTCAAGATTATCGAGCCACAGGATGGTTTCTATACCATCTATAGTCATGTTTGTCCAGTATTCGTAGTTCACGCCTCTATTTCCTTCAAAGTCAGAACCTAATATTTCCGGCTTTGCTGCTACATGGCATGTAATGTGTTTACCTGGCATTACTTCTGTCACAACGCACGGCGTATCTAAAAAACACATAACTGTAATGCAATCTAGTACTTTCATCAAAACGATTATATTTTCATAGTTTTTCTTACTTATTTCTGACCATATGATTTCAAAGGCATGAGACGATTAAATGTCTTTTCTATACTGTAACCGTAAGCAAGAAATACTACAAGATCTAATACTAATATATTATAATTATACATTGTGAAAATAAAACAGTATGTATGCGCTATAATTATCAAATAATTACCATCGATGTAAGCTCTCTTTGATGACAGTCTACCGCCAAAATGTCTTCCATATATCGTAAGAATAAGTCCTCCGGCCACACTTCCATTAGAGTGACTGATGTTTGTGATATCTGATTTTGAAAGTTGAAAATATACATAATCAATTGTTTCAAGAATGTTGTCAAAAATGACAAACAACAAGTTCAAAGGTGCTTGGAAACCAAACAATATTAAGTTTGGCGTGGCCGAGTGGTGAACGCGTCGGACCAGTAATCAAAGGATTGCTGACCGCGGGGGGGATCAAACCCTCGTCAGGGGCAAACCGTTGTTTCATCCAGCAAGAAACTTTACGCATTGTTTAGTACTGGTTGGTTCCAGGAACGGATTCGAGAGTTTTTCAATAAGCTAATATCTTTCAACTAAATCGAACTAAAATATTTTTGCATATACAATTGTACTACACTAAAAGAGTATCAATATTGAGATACCTGCGTATTGCTGGAACATATATATTATATCATTGTATGACACGTGATATAGCTGCGGATACGAAACGGATCTAAATTGAAAAATAACAAATGATAAACATATACCTTAAATATCGTATCTTTAACCATTTTGAATAAATAACAGTGACATACCTTGTATAATATTAACTTTGTACTTTTAACTAGCATATTTCATACTTATCTATTCATTCAGGATTTTTGAATTTGAAAAAAAACAACTTGTTTAATGTATATATACATGTTTGGAAATGAAAGCAGTACAAAATATGCAAATTAAGTTTTATTAAAAATGTCACTAAAATGGATTAAGTCATTCTTTGAAGGACATCATTTAAAAAACAATGTTCAAATTTAAATTTTAATATCTTTAGCTTTAACTTTGGCTCACTTACTTCCCGGGGAGCCCAAAGGAAACCCTCCCCCGGGAAATTTTAACCAGGGGGGATTTCCGGGGGAAAGATCCGGGTGAAAATTTTTTTTCGGTCACACTTACCCCCCGGGAACACTTTCGTAAATTCCCAACTAACCCCCCAGCATGGTCGGGCATCCAAAGGGAGAGCCAAAGTTTAAAACTCCGGGTTTATGCCGGTCTTCCCGGCCCTTTCCCGGAAAAGACGCCGGAAAAGCCCCGGCCCGAGCCCAAACAGGAAACCCAGTCATCCGGGAGGGGCCAGGGAATCCAGGAAAAGCCCGGTAAACCCCGGGGGAAATTAAAACGCCCCAAAAAATTTTAACATTGATACTTTTTTATTTTTAATAAATTTTAAATCCCTTTGTTCCAGAAATAGTAATTTTAAAAGATGATTTTCTGAAAAAATCCTTATGCCATACTGGATAGAAGGGAAACGGGAAGGGTTTTAATACAAACAAGTGCAATCATCACAAATTGTCGTTATTCTTTTGAAATGATCCGGGCTTTGCCGGGGATCTACCGGGATCAACGTAGCTCTACCTTTATCCTCCGGGGCTCTGCCTTTGGTTACCGGGGCTCTGCTGGCATATACCGGGGCTCTACCGTAGCTCTGTCGTAGCTCTACCGGCTATATCATACCCCGGATCATCCCCGGTTTGTGCCGACAGATCTACGGTACTTCCCCGATATAACCCCGGACGTTCCCGGCAGAGCTAAGGATGAAGCCGGCAAAGCTATACCTTCCCGGATCATACCGGACCACCCCGGTGATATTAAATATTTTATTCCATCCGGGGTCGAATGCCGGATGTTTCCGGATCATCCTGGATCATCCCAGACGTTGCCGGCCGAGTTACGGATGTACTCCAGGTTGTTCCCGGTCGTACCCCGGTCGTTCCGGGATCACCCGGACGTCTACCGGGCTTTGCCGGGGCTCTGCCAGGATGTAAGTGAGACTGTAGCTTTAGCAATACAGAGTTTACTAATACAAATCCAAACATGAATAGGTTGGGCACTAATAAAATAAATTTGACAATAAATATTTTAAGACAAAACATAAAACAATCTGATAAAATGCAATAATTATTCCTACCTTCCGTATGGTGGTTCAACAATGTAACTGAGATTTAGAAATCCTGCAATGTACATGAATATCATAATATATCGTGTGCTATGTAATATAGAATAAATCATGTGTGCATTGGAAAGTGTACCTGTTTGGTAGTATTATTAAACGTATATGTTTTGCATAAAAATGTTTTGTATATGTTTAGTAGTATAATGAATATATCTGTATGGTAGTACATTAGAATGTTTCTTTTTGGTTGTATCAGGAAACGTATCCGTATGGTAGTAATAATGAATTTATATGTTTGGGTGTACCATGAAACGTATATCTTTGGTAGGATAGTGAAATATATCTGTGTGGTTGTATCATGAAATGTATCGGGTTGGTAGTACAATGAAATGTGCCTGTTTGGTAGAATAATGTCATGTTACTCTTGGGCAGCATAATGAAATGAATCTTAAATCGAAAAGAATGCATTGAGTATTGATTGCTTAAGCGTGGTTTTATCAACACTTTCAGTTTTTGAATGAGCACCATAATACTTAAAATCAGTTTGATAGACTCAATATGATTGAGGGATTAATATCTTTTGAACGAATATACATTTCAATTATATTTCATACAAAATGTCATCTGTGAAATAAAACTGAATCAAAATTGCTTCTATTTTGCAATGATCCTTGGTTCAAACTCATTTTTAAAATCAAGCCCTACTAGGAATTTATTTAGATACATATGACAGGCTGAGGACTCTGAAAGCTTTTCGGCATATGAGATGCACATGAACGTTTTGTGGTGTCAGGCGTAATTATTGTCACATGACAGGCGAAATATCGACCTGACATTCACTACGCATGTACAAAATGCATATAAACATTTTATAGAGAATATGCTAGCAGTTTCACATCAATGAAAACTGTTTGAGCTTTGAAAAAATAAAACAAACAAAACAAGAATTTGTAACAGAGTTACCAACTTCCCCCGCCTCTGGGAAGTTTATATGAAGCATTAAATTGTGCTACTTCAAAAGATTGAGATATGGATTTTAGGACTTTCAGTCCAACATTATGATCAATGCTAGATCTGCAAATGCAACAATAAATTCATTAAAAAAATACTAGTAAAATGAAACACGGAATTTTAAATACTATCATGTTAACCTTGGACCTCTAAGTGGGACCATGACCTTGGAGGTAGGGGTGCAGGTGTTCTGCATCACATATCGTCTTATCAATATTATTATTTGTGCCAAGTATTTTCAAAATTCCTTTAACTTTGTAGAAGTTGTAGATCAGACACAAAATATACCCTATAACAGACTTTGTCAACTTTGACCTTTAAGTGTGACCTTGGATGTAGAGATCCATGTTTTGCACCTAACATATCATCTTATTTTTTGAAATTATTTATGCAAAGTATTTTTAAAATCCCAGGTTATGGACTGGACACAAAATATACCCAATTACAGACTATGTAAATCTTTGACCTCCTTTTTTCACCTTGACCTTGAAGGTAGGGACATATGTGTTATGCATGACATATCCACTTATCATTGTGACTATTTGTGCCTAGTTATTTCAAAATCCTGAAGAAGTTCTTGATCAGCCACAAAATATACCCTAAAAGAGACTAACTTTATTTTAACTTTTGACCTCTGAGTGTGACCTTGAACTTGGAGGTAGGGATGCAGGTGTTGCGCATGACACATTGTCTTATTATAGTGACTATTAGTGTCAAAATCCTTTGATCTATGAAAGCAAGTAAGACATCTAGACCCCTTGACTTCTCGACCCCTTAGGATATTAAGATGACATCTAGACCCCTTGACTCTTAGACCCCTTGTAAGATGACTTTTCGACCCCTACTGACTAAGACATTTCGACCCCTGTTTTAAATGTTGGACTTTAAAAGAACCGTTAATATATTTTGAAAATATTGTAAGACTTATATATAATCTTTAAGATTTTTGTTTAAATTTATTTGTTTTTCTGACATATCAGTTGCAAAATTTACATTTTTTTTAAAAATCTAATTTTGGTGATTAATAAACTAATCACAGTTTTCATTTGTTTAATTACGGACTAAAATCGGATTAAAGTCCCGTTGTTTAATGTAAAGATGCTAATTTATAATTTAATTTCGTTATTAGCGCATTAAGTAAGAAATATTTATTAAATATGTAACATCACGCGTTACAAATGAGTATTGATGTTATAGAAAGCTTTTGCTAATTATTTACACACATTTCTTAATAATATCATTTACTCAAACTTGTGAAGATATACATAAAAACGCGTATTTACTACAACATTTCAGTTTTATTAATATTAAGCGTGTTTCCTATTAATATTGTCTGATAAATAAGTGGAGGAATATTATTACAGACTTTTATTTTTGTGTGTATATTTGTCATAATCATATTAATTTATTAAATGATTAGTTATTAAATGATATTGTCCGTTTTGTGTATTGCGTGCAAGGAGACTGTTCCCCAACATGTCGTTACGTGTGACATTTGTGAGAAGGTGCAACACAGAACCTGCAATACTGGTGAGTAATGTTTCATTTTTCCATTTACATATAATTCATACGTAAGTCGTAATAATAATAACTAAAAATTTGTAAACTTCAGTTTATTGTTTTGTAAGACATAATAATGTTACATTGGCAATGAACGTTTATACTAAATGAAATATAGAATTGTGTGTAATAGTTAACGGAAATGTAATTATTGACTGCGTAATAATTAACGGAAGCTGACCGCCATATTTATCAAAATAAAAAAACTACAGTAATTTTAGATGAATGATATAGTTTAAGATATATTTATTGACTTGGTATGTCAGATATGTACAAAAAATATATATGACTCATTACTTAAACAATTAAAATTCGTAACGGTGAAAATTAGAATGAGCGTGCATCAAACTGTATCCAAAATTTTTTTTAAATAAAAAGGATTTATTTTTGATACACATTTAATCACTTTCATACATATTTTGACCACAAAAAATGAAAATGACTTTAATAAATTATCATCATACATCTCCCGTGTGCTGGTTTAATGTCATACATGTATGTGTTTAATCAGTGACACGTGATAGGATAAACACCGGCGCGTGCCGTTTAATAATCAAATTATCGGTCATACATGTATGTGTTTATTCAGTGACACGTAATTGGATTAACACCGGCGCGTGCCGATACTAATCCGATTATCGCTCATTAGAACGATATATACATGTATTATCAATAAAACATAACTTTATTTTTTTTAATTTTGTTATAAGATGAAAAATTTGTATTTTGCAGGTATCAGTAGAATCGATTATTACAAGGCACGTAAACGTTTAAGCGTCGTACAGTTCACTTGTAGTATTTGCTGTGACACTCCTTCAGACCAAGCAACACCTGATCAAGACAATTCCGTTGATCATTCAGACAAGGAAATGTATAATTGGAAAAAGATTATCAATAAGACATACAAAAATACAGTTTCAAAAAGTATATATATTGTAAATATTGTACTTATTACATACTTGTATATAAAGAGAGTGATAGTGTCTGCGTATTCTATGTATTGTTATTTCAATGAAATGTGTGTACATGCATATTTATTTGTATTACTGTTTTTGTAAATAATATACATAAATGATTATTAAACGGCTGAAAATGTTCTAAACTAGTCATTACTTTGTTTTTTTTTATTTTTAAAAAAGCACGGTCTTTCCTTATATAACAATACATTAATTAAGGGGTCGAAATGTCCGGTATATTTAAGGGGTCTAAGTGTCTTAGGGGTCTAAGCGTCAGGGGTCGAGATGTCTAAGGGGTCGAGGTGTCAAGGGGTCGAGGTGTCAAGGGGTCGAGGTGTCATAGACTCCTATGAAACAGTTATGGACTGGACACAAAATATACCCTGTAAAAGACTAACTTAATCTTTGACCTCCAAGTGTGACCTTGACCTTGTGGGTAGGTGACCGGTTGTTGCGAATGACACATTGTCTCATTATTGTGAACAATTGTGGCAAGTATTTACAAAATCCCTTCAAAGATAAGAAAGTTATGGACCGGACACGACATATATCCTCAAATAGACAATGTTGACCTTGAATGAGCAAGTGCACCCTTCACCCTGGAGGTAGGGGTCTGGTTGATGCGCATGACACATTGTCTTATTATAACAAACATTTGTGCCAAGTTATTTCAGATTCCTTTGATAAATGAAAAAGTTATGGACCGGACACAAAATATACCCTGTAATAGACTATGCTAATCTTTGACCTCCAAGTGTGTCCTTGACCTTGGAGGTAGGTGACCGGTTGTTGCGCATGACACATCGTTTTATTATTGTGAACAATTGTGGCAAGTATTTACAAAATCCCTTCAAAGATAAGAAAGCTATGGACCGGACACGACATATACCATCAAATAGACAATGTTGACCTTGAATGAGCAACTGCGATCTTGACCTTGGAGGTATGGGTCTGGTTGTTGCGCATGACACATCGTCTTATTATAACAAACATTTGTACCAAGTTATTTCAGATTCCTTTGATAAATGACAAAGGTATTGAGAGGACACAAAAGTGTCACGGACGGACGGACGGACGGACAGACGGACGGACGTTCCAACATTTTGGCTTTAGGGGCTATTTTCTTTGTTATTTTCTTTGTTTTCTTAAGGGCCACTTGCCTCTAAACCTTTTAATCACGGACTGAGACTATTGTTATCTTTTGTTCTCTTTACTGTTATATAGCCCCGAAACCCAAAATGTTTGCTCAGACGGACGGACGAACAGACGGACGGAGCCTATTACTGTATCCCCATTTTTTCGTCGAAAAGGCGGGTGGCAATAAACAATACACTTTTTTGTAAAAAATCTATAAATTTCATACCGACTAATAAGGTTGATGTCCTGCATTCAATTGTTCCATAATAAAAATCTTCATTTACGAGAGACAAGCTGTAGCTGAAGTATTACAAATATGAATATGAAAACGTTGATCATTTATTTTTAATTCTATTTTCAATATTATTTCAAATATTTTATTTAAAATT